GTGGGGGGTGTTGGAGAGATGTTCGTCAGAGGATACAAAATTTCAGTTGAATAAGGAATAAATTCAAGAGACCTAAGGGAGTAGATTTTAAATGCTCTCACTGCAAAAATGGTAACTGTGAGGTTTTGTATGTTTTAGTTAGCTAGATTTAACCATTTCACAGCATATGTGTATTTCAAAACATAATGTTATACATGACAAATACAGTTTATTAATTTTTAAAAAGTTTGTAATGTGGCTCTGAACTTACTCCTTTTTCCTTTTTCTTCAAAACAAAATCCAGTGGAGATCTCTGATTCGGCTCCCCCAGCACCACTGGTGAAAGAAGTCACCAAGAGGTTCTCCACCCCAGATGCTGCCCCTGTGTCAACAGAACCAGCCTGGCTGGCTTTGGCCAAAAGGAAAGCAAAGGCTTGGAGCGACTGCCCACAGATCATTAAGTAAAGAGTGACTGTCACCCATCCCTACTGCCAGTTATTGGCTCCTCTCTTGCCCTTTTTTTAATTTATTTTTTATATGGGGTAACGAAATCAAGCTAGGGAAAAGCAGCATGTTTTATAGGCTCTAAAATAATGTTGAGAAACTGAACTGGTGGTGTTCATTGTAAAGAGTGGATTTGCACAATCCTAGGTCCTGGTGCCTTGAGCTCCTCCTAGTTCTCAAGAGAAAATTCCGTCCACAGGACCACATGAAGCAAAATCTCTAAGCTAAGAACTCCTCATGAGAGCCTGCCATGCCCATCCCATGGCCTTGCACACACACTCACCCACACACCACTCAGAACATGTACCTTTGCCAACCTTTTGTAATGTTTTTTTTGATTCTATGCACTAATTTTCTTTGTCCAAAACATTGACTCTACCCTGTGTTTGGGCATGTTTATCCTTTCTGCAGTAGTAGTGAAAGGATCATATATAGCTAAAAGCAAGAATGCCCATTCTCTTGAATGCACTGAGTAACTGGGAATCACAAGGAACATTCTGGCTCCCAACTGTGCCCATGTTAGTTTTCATGAGTTTTCCCTACTCTGAAGCTGTAACACAGAAGGCACATCCATTCACAGTGTGAGGCCCCATTAGCCCAATACCCTCCTTAAGGACATGTGAAGCATTTGGCCCAGTTGGCTCCTAGAGAACTTTTTAATTTAATGTAGTGAAGAAAGGAAATTCTAGATCTGAGCCTCAAGTTCCCTTTCTGTCTCTGAGAATCTCCATGTAGGGCAGTGGTTCTTACGATGTGCAGGCTCCCTCCGAGGCCTACTGAATCAGAGCCTGTGGGGACTGGGCCAGGAATATGTATTCTGGCAAAATCTCCAGATAAATTCTGATAGATCCCAAAGGTTAAGAACTTTGGGAAACACTGATCCTAATGTAATCTAGTTTTTCAGACTCTGAAGGGGAGGCTCATTCCCTCAAAAAGCAACAGTGAGATAGGAAAAATAATAATGCCCCAAACCAGCCATTTATTACAAAAGAAACAACAGGTTATTGGCATTACATGTTTGAAAATTCCCTTTGGTCTTCAGGGAAAATTAACAGAAAGCCAAGATTTGGAGCCTTTATAATAAGGACTTCCTGCAGAAAGTCTTTTCTTTACTATTATAGTTGAGTAATTCATATTTAGAGTCAAATGTCCAGTAGCATTTCTAATTTTGAGCATTCACCTTGCTACCTTTAAAAAACATCTGAGTTTTAAGTGGCCTTTTTATTATCATACACATGTACATTCAAAGAAGGGACTTGGCAGTTTAAAAGCCACATATATTTACTTTTAGTTCCCTAAATTTACTTTACGTGAAACATAGACACACCGGCAAACTCACATACTGCTGGTGCTAACCTTCTATTTCATAGTGTTGGCATATTCCCCTTTTCTTAGATTCTTACTCCAAAATATAGGTACAAATCCTTTGCTCTGTGCAGAGGAAATTATATCCTTTTTCCTCTCCTACAAAAACATGCTTTATTAGTATCCATCATTCCTTTCCTTTATGCTTGCTCAATATGCAGTATGCTGTTATTCTACCATGTACCTTAAATAAAGGATGACAGCAAAGTTATTTACAATATAGAAACTATTTTCTTTCTAGAAATGATGGCTCAGCCCCACTGTAGCAGCTGGCATGTGTGGTCAAGTGGATAGTTGTACTCTTGCAAGTTGGATTTAATATTATATATACTGGACCTTCAGACTGTTAAAAATCAATGTAATTTTTTTTATTGCTATGGCAAGCAATTAGTATTTCACTGCACGTCTTCCACACTAATGTTCATTTCTAAGTCTTATACGTAGACATTTGTTAGTTCCAATGATTTCCTCACTAATATAACACTTTTTAATGGGAATCTTTCCACCTAGAGCCCTGGAATGATAATGCTACAGTAATTCTTCTGAATTGACTTTTTTTTTCATCCTGTCAGCTTTGGACATTATCCCAATAATGGCAGGGAACAGGTGAAGTAAGATCAGTAACAAAGAATGGTAGATGTGTCAGCTTTGTATTGGTTCGGATATCACTGTGCCCCTACAAAGCAGGCGAAATACCTCAGTTAAAATTTTTCCACCAAAGTCTTTAAAAGAAGAGTATAATAAAGGGCAGTCACAGTACTTACTTCTAACAGCTTCTAAAGAGTTACATGTTTAACATTTCATTTCAAAATCACCCCAAATTTGCACTAAATACCAAGGAAGTGTTATTTTGCTTCAGTTGTGTTGCAGTTTTCTGAGCAACAAACTATGGGGAAATTCTGTAAAAACATATAAAAAGTTAAAGACTTTTTTTTTAAATGAATGATTACTATGTTAAATGCAAGCTTTTTTTGTTTTTAAAACAAACATACACTTCTCCTGGCAAGGTTATAGATGATTAACCTCTGTTCATAGACTTATATAGAGAACTAGAGGATTTTTTGTTTACTTTTTTAATTTTTCAAGTGCAATTGTTTCTTACACAAATGTTATTAATTACTATTAAATTATCATTTAGCCAGTTATCCGCAAATGTATAGTATGTATTGTCTCCTCTTGTGACATTTACTTTAATTGCTTATTTTAAAGCAGAAACATTAGTTACAAGTGTCTTACAATATTTTTACTGACAGTAAAGTTAAGTAGAGACTTAATGAAAATACCTTAGTGTGATTTTAATATAATTTGGATATTTCAGTTGTATAAAGTTTAATGTAAAATGTCCATTATTGAAGGGAAAAGATCTTTCAATAAAAAATACCCATGAGATCTTCGGCACTGCTGGAATTTGATTTCGATGACCACTACAAAACAGTCTCATTATATTTACATAGCTTTTGTTGAACAAATCTTGAAGGTGATTTATTACATTTTTTGCTAGATTTTTTTTTTTTTTTTTTTTTTTGAGACGGAGTTTCGCTCTTGTTACCCAGGCTGGAGTGCAATGGCACGATCTCGGCTCACCGCAACCTCCGCCTCCTGGGTTCAGGCAATTCTCCTGCCTCAGCCTCCTGAGTAGCTGGGATTATAGGCACGCACCACCATGCCCAGCTAATTTTTTGTATTTTTAGTAGAGACGGGGTTTCACCATGTTGACCAGGTTGGACTAGATCTCTTCGACCTCGTGATCCACCCGCCTCGGCCTCCCAAAGTGCTGGGATTACAGGCTTGAGCCACCGCGCCCGGCCTTTGCTAGATATTTTTAGAGAAAAATAATGAAGGGGGGGCAAATAAAATGTTTGTCTCAATCCTAACTTGGAGTTGAACGGTCTGGGTCTCAGACAAAAAGATTATACAGCCTCCTCAAAGCATGGGCTACGCAGCAGCAGCAGCAGCAGCAGCAGCAGCAGCAGCAGCAGCAGCAGCAGCAGCAGCAGCAGCAGCAACAGCAACAGCAGCAGCAGCAGCAGCAGCAACTGAGAACACGTGAGAATTGCAGCTTATGACCACACACCAGACATACTGACTCACTGGGCCAGACCCTGGTGAAATGAAAAGTGAGTTAGGCATGTGAGCACTTGCCTTGGCTTCCAGAAAACCCAGTGATCAAGAGAAATACTATTTTAATGCAGTATTTTTTAAAAATCAAAATTAATGCAAACTAAACATCAAACCCATTCCATGATGAGCAAAAGACCAAAATTTTAAGGAAAGGGCATTGCTAGGAACAATGAATCCCTGAAATCACCACATATAAACAAACGAACATGCAATTGTACTGGTGGGGGTGGGGGCAGGGTATGTGTGTATTTTATTCTACATTAGTAATTCATTTAAAAACATTAAATAAGGAATGTAATTCGATAACTAGATCCTACCTTTGAAAACCTTTTGCCATGAATGGCAAATTCATGTAATGACATATTATATAAAGACTGTTTTTAACCCACTAAGTACATTCTGATCCTTTTTTCCCCCCACAGGGATCTTGTTTTTTTAAAGAAAAAACACATAAAATTAGCTTAATGTATTAGGGTTCTCCATAGATACATAGTGATTAGGAGAGATGTATTATGGAAATTGGCTTAAGTGATTATGGAGGCTGAGAAGTACCACCATCTGCCATTTGCAGGCTGAAGACCCAGGAAAGTGGTCCAAAGGCTTCAGAACCAGGAGCTCTGATGTCCAAGGGCAGGAGCAGATGGATACATCTCAGCAAGAAGAGACCATCTGCCCCTCCTCTACCTTTTCGTTCTGTTCAGGTCCTCATCAAATTGAACAATGCCACCCACATTGGCACACTGGTGAGGGAGGGTCTTCTTTACTCAGTCTACTCATTCAAATTTAAATGCTCATCTTTTCCAGAAACAGCCTCACAGACACACCGAGAAATAATGTTTTACCAGCTATCTGGACATCCCTTAGCCAGTCAAGCTGACACATAAAGTTAACCATCACACCTAATTAAACAAAAGTCCTGCTAAAACTAAATATACTGATGTGTTTTGTTCTCTGACTCCCTGTAAAGGCTTCTGTTGTTCCTATGGGAAGTAAAACATTGTTCTCCAATCAAGTGTAGTAGACAAATTTCTGTTTCTTAGCCAAAATATCATCTTTAATATAAAATAAGTCCACCCACATGCTCTATCATCATAAAATATTTTCAAACAGCTCACATTTGTTATATAAATAAGGACCATATTTGATTATTTTTGATTGCCACCCAATAAATCCAGACAATAAACATAATTATTTCTACACCCAATAATGAGCGTTGATTCCAGGACCACAGGAGAAGAGAATACTTCTCCAGGAAGTTCATAAACACTCTGCAATTGTCCACTCTGAGATTCCAAGATCCATAGTTTCCCATCAGTAGACGCTGCTGCCAGCAACATTTCATTGCTGCCATTGTAGTTATGGAAAGCAAACGGTGTTGCATAGACCCTTGAAGTAGTTTCAAATTTCCACTGCAGGTGACCTTTCATGTTACAACAGTAGATAAAGCAGTCATGGGAACCAAAAAATATTTTTTGCTCTGATGGTGAGGTACATGGGGATGAAAAGATTGGTCCACTGGCAGAGAACTGCCAAACCTATAAAGAGTAGTAAAAATAAATATAATTCATTCACCTAATTGCTCCAATTCTCCCTTAAAGCTCTATGAGGTTCTTAATGCAAATCTAAGAGACATGGCTTTTTCTGAAAAGTAGCAATCTCATATTAGACCTCTGTAAAATCCAAGACAAAATATACTAGAGTGTTGTTATTATGTGATTCACTGATGTGCATAAGTAAAATTAATTTTGAATCCCATTCAAGAGTTAGCATTATTCGGAAACACTGAGTTCAAAGTTAAAACTACATTGAGTTTTCAGTGTATCTTAAAAGCTGGGCCAGGCATGGTGGCTCTCGCATGTAATCCTGGCATTTTGGGAGGCCACAGCAGGCAGATCACATGCAATCAAGAGTTCAAAACCAGCCTGGCCAACATGGTGAAACCTTGTCTCTATTAAAAACATTAAAAAAATTGGCCAGGCGAGGTGGCACCCACCTGTAGTCCCAGCTACTGGGCAGGCTGAGGTGGAAGAATCACTTGAACATGGGAAGCGGAGGTTGCAGTGAGCCAGGATCATGCTACTGCACTCTACCCTGGGCAACAGAGTGAGACCCTATCTCAAAAAAAAATAAAAATTTGAGACCACTTTTCAATGTATCTTATCACATACAAACTGCATATTCCTTATTCCAAATGCAGGAAAAAAGAATTGAGCTGAAAGGAAGAGTTCATGTGCAATAATAAAAAGTTATGAGTTGTGGCTGGGCACAGTGGCTCACACCTATAATCCCAGCACTTTGGAAGGCTGAGGCGGGTGGATCACCAGAGGTCAGGAGTTCAAGACCAGCCTGGCTGATATGGTGAAATCCCATCTCTACTAAAAAGAGAAAACTTAGCGGGGTGTGGTGGTGCACACCTGTAATCCCAGCTACTCAGGAGGCTGAGGCAGAAGAATGGCTTAAACTCAGGAGGCGGAGGTTTCAGGGAGCCAAAATTATGCCAGTGCACTCCAGCCTGGGAATCTGAGCAAGACCCCATCTCTAAAACTAAAATAAAAATAAAATTCATATGGAATCAAAAAAAGGCCCAGAATAGCCAAAGCAATATTGGGTAAAAAGTACAAAGTTGAACACATCACAGTAACTGACTTCAAAATATAGCTAAAGTAGCCAAAACGGCACTGTAGTGGTATAAAAATAGATCAGTGTAATAGAATGGAGAACCTAGAAATAAATCCACATAGTTACATCCAACTGAGTTTTGACAAAGGTGTCAAAAACGCATAAAGGGGAAAGGACACCCCCTTCAATAAATGGTGCTAGGAAAACGATCTCTGCATGCAGAAGAATAAACTGGAACTCTCTCTCTCACTGTATATAAAAATAAACTCAAGATAGATTAAACACTTAAATAGAAGACCCAAAACTAGTTAAAAATACTAGAAGAAAACATAAGGGAATCACTTTAGGACACTGGTCTAAGCAAAGCTTTTATGGCTAAGACCTAAAAAGTATAGGCATCAAAAACAAAAACAGTTAAGGGATACTAAATTAAACTAAAAAGCTTCTGCACAGCAAAGGTAACAGCAGAGTGAAGAGACAGCCTGTTGAATGGGAGAAAATATTTGCAAACTATTCATTGAGCAAGGGACGAATATCTAGAATATGAGGAACTCAACACGGCAGTAAACAAACATATAATCCTATTAAAAAGTGGGCAAAGGAGATGAACAGACGTATCTCAGAAGAAGACATACAAATGGCTAACAGGTATATGAAAAAAAAACACTCAACATCACTTATGATGAGGGAAATGCAAATCAAAACCACAATGAGATATCATCTTACCCAGTTAAAATGGCTATTAATAAAAGAACATAACAGATGCTGGCAACGATGTGGAGAAAAAGGAACTTACAGTGCTGGTGGGAATGTGAATTAGTGCAGCCATTATGGAAAACAGTATGGAGATTTTTCAAACAACAGGTTAGTAATAGGTAAAAACATACCATAAGAAAAAATAAGTTCTAATGTTCAGTAGCAGAGTAGGATGACTACAGCCAACAACAATGTGTTGTCTATTTCAGAATAGCTAAAAGAAATGATCCCAAAACATAGAAATGATAAGTTCTCAAAGTGATGGATAACACAAACACCCTTAATCATTATACAGTCTATGCATGTAACAAAATATCACATAGGTACCCCATAAATAGGTACAAATATCTGTATCAATTAAAAGAAACCAGGGGTTTATTTAAGCTTTCATAATCTCAATAGAAGTTACAATGAAACAGGCTAAAAATTTGGTAATGTTTTTAAAATTGGGGGAAGAGAAGGCAAAAAAAGTGTAACAATGTTTGGGTAGATCTCTTTTAAATCTATGCCTTCATTAAAAAATTAAGAAATCTGGCTGGGAGCGGTGGCTCATGCCTGTAATCCTAGCACTTTGGGAGGCCAAGGTGGGTGGATCACCTGAGGTCAGGAGTTCAAGACCAGCCTGGCCATCATGGTGAAACCCCATCTTAAAAAAAAAAAAAAAATTAAGAAATCCATGGCTTCACAGTTAAAACAGAAGTACTTCTCAACATCATGAGTTGAATAATGATGTTTAAAATGTTACTTCAGTTGTCACAATCTGCTTTGCTTTTAGGAAAGACATATATAAATATATATATATATATATATATATATATATATATATATAAAAAATAGAACTAGCTATAGATATATAAAATACATCTACTTTATGGAGAGATATACAAAATTTCTGGTTCTACTTTATATATATAAGATTTTAATATGTATACAATGTTATTGTTCTAGAAAAAAAGTTTATTGTATTATTTATTACCTGTTCTCCAAAGTGAGTAAAGCAGAGTAAATTCCCATCTACACAGCCAATACAAATATACTGTGAGCAACATTGTGGGGAAGAGAAGAGTGGTTTTCCACAGGAATGTTTCCAAATAATATTCCCAGTAGCCTGTCACAGGAAAAGCAATTCACAGCATTTTACATCATCCTACTAATCAGACACCCTTTATAAAACAAACTGATACATCTCCCAGTGGTAGAGCTAAAATATCAGAAAATGCTGTATGTGGCCATTATAAATGAAGCTGGTATACATAGATAAAATTAATCAATGCTATTTATGAGAACTAGGAAAAAGGCTTAGTAAAACAAGCAAAGAAATAACTAACACCTAAGAGTTAACCCTATGAGGGACATAAAGTTCATAATATGATGAAAAAAATTCTGTCAATTTAAAAAGTAGATAAAAGAGGAGCTGGACATGGTGGCTCACACTTATAATCCCAGCATTTTGGGAGGCTGAGGTGGGCGGTTCACAAGGTCAGGAGTCCAAAACTAGCCTGACCAACATGGTGAAACCCCATCTCTACTAAAAATACAAAAATTAGCTGGGCGTGGTGGTACATGCCTGTAATCCCAGCTACTTAGGAGGCTGAGGCAGGAGAATCGCTTGAACCCAGGAGGCAGAAGTTGCAGTGAGCTGAGACTGTACCACTGCACTCCAGCCTGGATGACAGAGTGAGACTCCATCTCAAAAAAAAAAAAAAAAAAAAAAAAAACCCATACAGGAACTTAAATTTTCTTACCTTTCTAGATTTCATGTCAATCATTTTTAATGAATTCTAGTTTGGCGTTATGTGGACCACCATAATTAACTGAAAACTATTCAAACTTTCAGAGCTCAAAGCAAAAATTTAAAGAAAAGATAGGAAATAAAATCAATGTGTATTATTTTATGCCTACAGGATTTACAGCCAGTAAAAGTCCTCCCAATGTAGCACAATACAAATGATGTGGAATCAGGTTCAAACACGGAGAGGAAAAGACAGTTCCTCCACATTTTGACTTCCAAACACAATTCTTTCTCTGCAAATAAGAAAATAAATTAATTTGGTTTTGCTGATGGTTAACAAATCCATATATCCGACCCTTCATGATATTGTATCTGTTTAGTTAATATGTTTTTATCTTTAGTATAAAACACACGCCTATTGTGAAAAATCAGCTTAGTATAAAGAAGACAAAGGATACCACCCAGAGACAACCAAGCTTAACATTTTAGCATTTTCTCATTTGATCTTTTTGGGGTATGGTTTGGGTGTGTGTGTGTGTCTGTTCATATACATCTGAGAGTGTGTGTGTGTGTGTGTGTGTGTGTGCGCCACACACATATGATTTAATATAGTTGAGATCATTCTGAATATACAACTTGGTATCATGTTTTGCTCACTGATTCTGTAAAATGATTTAAATATAATTTTAATGCATAGTACCCCAAATGAACATAATTTCTATCTCTACCTTATTGAACATTTTTTGGGGATTTCTTGGTATTATAAACAACTTAGAAATTGGCATCTTACTGCATATATTTGACTGTGTTTCTGATTATTTTGCCAGGATTTCTAAAAAAAGAACTTTATGGGATCAAAGTATATAATATTGTTACCTATGGTCAAATCGTTTTCATTAGAGGCCTCACCAGTTACAACCTCTTACCACTCTCATCAGCATTTAATGTTATGACAAATATGGTTTCTAATCTAATACCATTTGTTTCTCTATCTCATAGATTTTAATTTTCATTCCTTTGATTATTAAATTTATGAAATATTTATATACATTTACTAGCCGTCTCTTCTTTGGGGTCCTGTGTATTTATGTCCCTTATTTATTTTTCTGTCTATCTGGTCTTTATATTTGTCTTATTAATTTTATATTTGATCTTAATTTTCACTTACAAATGAATTTCTGCTTTTTTTTACATTTATTTCAAAAATTTACCCAGCTTGTTTAATTTGATAATTCTTATATAACATTTTAATTTTTATGTAATCAGGTCTTAAAATATCTTACTTTGTTATTCTATTTCTGTTGTCAAGATGATAATCCTAAATTCTTTACATTCCAAAACTCTGAGTAGCACACTTATTTGTGGTAAATTTGGTAATGAAGTTAAAAAGGTCTTAAGATATTAAGACTTAATTAATGCTTTATTCTTCCCAGACCACAATGATAAGCTTGGGAAATAGTTAATACGTATTCCAAGACTCAACTGCACCTGACAGTTACTCACTCTTCTTCTAAGTATTAGAAATTTAATGCTTCTATGCTCCTGGTATTAAGACTAATAAGGTGAATTTTTTTTTTTTTTTTTTTTTTTTGAGAAAGAGTCTCACTCTGTTACCCAGGCTGGAGTACAGTGTCACGATCTTGGCTCACTGTAACCTCTGCCTCCCAGGTTCAAGCAGCTCTCCCACTTCAGCCTCCTGAGTAGCTACCATTACAGGCATGTAACATCATGCCCAGCTAATTTGAGGTGAATTCTTACATAAATATCTAAAGCATATGCATGCTGGTCATGAGATCCAATGTAAATGAGTCCTGTGGTTGGATCCATGGTTGGCGAGCTTTTGACAGCATCTTCAGTAGTAAACACCCAGTATTTTTCTCCACTATTACTTTTCAGAACATAAACTAATCCATTATAACAACCTGCAGAGAAATAAAACATAAAACATTTGATATAGATACATTACTGGGAAATAATTCTTTAGCCTATATCATGCAATTTATATTCAGTCCTCCTCTATAAATAGGCTCTATGATCAGCTCATCTGGCTTACATTTTAGCAATGTAAAGCAGGAACTAAATAGTAATCATTTGTGTAAAATATCTATTTAGTAGGTGTATCATCTTTTAAAAGCACTTCACTAATTTTTTTACATAATTCTTTTTAAAAAGTGCTTCACTATTTTTGACACATCTGGATTCAAATTTCATCACGACTATCACTGGGCAATTTACCCAGTGTTGCTAAGCCACAAATTATTCATCTGAAGAATCTGGATTCACGTATTTCCAGGGTCATTGTGACAATTCATATGATGTGAATAAATGCCCAGTGCACAAAAGGTGTTTAAGAAGTACTAACATTAATAGTCAATGTTCACTGAGCATTTACTATTGTCAGGTATTATTCTAAACACATTACATTTATTAATTCATTTAATCCTCACAGTGAAGTAAGTACTATTAGAACTACATTTTTTAGATGGCAAAATTGAAGAGAGACTAAATTACTAGAGAAAAATTACACAGCTCATATGTGGCAGAACCAAGATTTGAATCGAGGAAGTCAAGCTCTAGAGTCTGTGTTCTTAACAAGTAAACTGCTTTTCCCAAATTGCTGCTATGGATGAGACGACAGGGCAGAGGTTGTTGACTTTGGCGTAGCCAAAATAACCTAGCTGGAAATAGAGATGGTTCAAATCTCCAAAGTGAAGGTCACTCAAGTTCCCAGGAGATCATGATAATCAGAAGTAGACTTTGTGGACAGCTATTTAGGGCAGTTTCATTGATGCCCACTCTCTAGATGGCTCTAGGCCTATAGCCACTGCCACTTACTTAAGGCCCAATTCCCAATGTACTTTTTTATGCTTTTTTTTCCCTGGCAGTTATCACTTAGTAGCAAGAGAGTAGTGGCCAGCTCAGAGATGACAAAGAGAAATGTCCTACATAGCAGAGCACCCCAGAACTCAGCTGGGTCAAGATTTCTGTCAATTCAGTTTAATTCCAAAAGAAAATACAGAAGAAAATATTTTTGACCTTGGATTAGGCAAAGATTGCTAAGATATGATTCCAAAAAAGCATGACCTATTAAAAAAATAAATAAATTGGACTTCATCAAAATAAAGAACTCCTCTTCAAAAGACGCTATGCTACTATCCTAAGAGAATAAAAAGCCCCAGACTGAGAGAACACATGCAAAATACATGCAGAAATTCTGTCTCCATAAAAGTTACAAACATTAGCCAGGTGTGGTGGTGCATGTCTGTAGTCCCAGCTACTCTAGAGGCTCAGGTGGGAGAATCACCTGAGCCCGGGAGTTCAAGGGTATAGTGACCCATGTTCACACCACTACACTCCAGCCTGGGTGAAAGAACAAAACCGTCTCGAAAAAAAAAATGTTCAACATCACTGGTCGCTACGTAAAGGCAAATTAAAACCACAATAAAATACCACTCATGATTATTTCAATGGCTGTAATAAAAAAAAAGTCAAAGCTAACAATACCAAGAACTAGCAAGAATGTGGTGCAACTGGACCTTTCACACATTGATGGTGGAAATGCAAAACGGTTTAGTCACTATGGGAAACAATTTGGCAGTTTCTTACCATTCAGGTGTATAACTGAAAGTATCCTGTAGTATAATTTTCAAAATGCCGTTGTTAAAGGGGTGAGAGGTCACCCACAACCTGTAGAAGTCTGGCCCGCAGACCCTGACTCAACCACAGATGAATGAATGCACTCTCACACCATTACAGTGATGCAAGTGGGCTAGGGATGGCCGGTGGCTGCTTTCAGAGGGCGAAATGCAACCAACTGACCAATACCCTCTGTCAGTCCACACATTTATTCCATCCAGATTTTACAACAGAGGTTCTAAGTTAACACACTTTTGGATAATTAACATGGTTAAAAGAGTGGTTATACGAATGATAAAAGCTTTAGGTTTCAGGCCCAGAGTGAACACTATTAACAGTTAATTCCCACAGGGAGGAGAGCACTACACACTAGGGTCTGTTGGGGGGATATAGGGGAGGGACAGCGGGGGGTGGGAAGTTGGGGAAAGATAGTATGGGGGAAAATGCCAGATATAGGTGATGGGGAAGAAGGCAGCAAATCACACTGCCACGAGTGTATCTATGCAACAATCTTGCATGTTCTTCACATGTACCCCAAAACCTAAAATGGAATTAAAAAAAAAAAAAAACAAGCAGGTAATTCTCCTTTGATCTCCCACTGGAGGGCTATCCAGTACAAAGTTTACATGAGTAAACAGACTGGAGATAAAGTGATGTGGGGTAACCAGACTTAAACTGGGAAGGCCTTTGATTCTCTCTCTCTCTTTCCTATGCTTATGTTAATGAGGCAGCTGCCTTCAACCTGTCTCAATAAAACCTTTTGGCTTTCCAGAAAGTTCGAGACTAATCTATACTTTTCCTAATATATCTTTAATATTTTGCCAACCACCCCGAGTGAATATCAACAAAGGGGAAGAAGGGAAGAATCAAATTCAGATTCAAGTAGACTGCCGCTAGGATGAAAGTTATTCATAATAAGCCTTTAGTCTGAAAAGCTTTGATGAAGATTCCATGAGCATATACAACGAAACTTAACATATTTGGCAGAGTAAAAAGAGAGTTATAGTCAGGGGGAGATAATATACCCAGGACCCCCATATTCCTAATAAAGTAAAAGTCACCTATACCTTAATGAAACTCAGCAGCAGGTAGTGGCTAACACTTAATAAGCATTTATGAAAAAATGCTCGCCAGACATGGTGGCTCATGCCTGTAATCTCAGCACTCTGGGAGGCTGAGGTGGGCAGATTGTTTGACCCCAGGAGTTTGACACCAGCCTGGGCAACATGTAGAAACTCTAACTCTACAAAAAAATTCAAACATTAACCAGGTGTGGTGGCACATCCCTAGCAATGCGCCAATGGAATCATAAACAATTATCTCACTTAATCCTCCCAAAAGCTTGATAAAGATTCTGGTGGTTCTAAAATATGTCCATGAATTCTTTGATGTACTTCCTTTCAAGAGGGGGAGGCTGATTCTCTTCCCCTTGAGTATGGTTTGAACTTACACACTTTTTTATTTTTTTGAGACAGAGTTCTGCTCTGTTTTCCCAGGCCAGAGTGCAGTGGCACTGTCACCACTAACAGCAGCGTCAACCTATTGAGTTCTAGTGATCCTCCCACCTTAGTCTTCCGAGTAGCTGGGACTACAGGCATGTAGTACCATGACTGGCTGATGTTTGTATTTTTTGCAGAGACAGGGTTTTTGCATGTTGCTCAGGCTGGTCTTGAACTCCTGGGCTCAAGCAATCTATCCGCCTCGGCCTGTCAAAGTGTTGATATTACAGGTGTGAACCACCGCACCCAGCCAAGTTACACACTTCTAATTAACAGAAGAAAACAAAAATGATGGTATGGAATTTGGAAGTCTAGGTCATAAAAGTTACTCTCTTCCTCCTTACTTGCTCTCTCCTGGATGACTCACTCTAAGGAATGTTAGCTGCCATGTTGTAAGAGGAGACAAACAGCCTAGAGAAGGCTCATGTGGTAAGAATTGAAGCTTTCTGCCAAGAACCAGCAAAGAACTGAGGCTTTCTGCTAATAGTGATGCAAATGAGCTATCTTGGCAGATTTTCCAGCCCAAATCAAGCTTTCAGATGGCTATAGTCACGTGAAAGCCCTGAGCAGAACTGCCAGCTAAGCCGCTCCTAAATTGCTGACCCATAGAAACTGTGAGACAATAAATTTGTGTTGTTCTAGGTTGTTGAGTTTTGGGGTATTTGTGATGCAGCAACAGATTTATTATTATTCCCTTTTACCCACAAGGAAAGTGAAGTTCTAAGAGGTTCAGTAACTTGCTAAAGGTCACAGAGCCCTAACAGCTATAGAACTAGGTTCAAATCCAGGGACTCTTGACCCCAAGGCCCATCTTGTTAATCAGGACATGATTAACTAATACTTTTTGACAGCAACCAAACCCATCATACATAGATTTTTTTTTTAACTTGGACCTATGAAGATTATTGTATGGTAATTCAATTTAACTCCACAAACCTCAAATTCAAACTTACCCACCACAATAAAGTTTCCACACTTCGATACACAGGCTGAGGATTCAATTCGATCTCCCAAACTCTGTTCCCATTTCACCTTCCCAGAGTAAAAGTCAACTGCCTTCATTTTATGAGAATGGGAACCAATGTACACAGTTGTAGATGACTCATCAAAAGCAGGTATTACAACCAGCGGTGAAGCATCCACGCATTTGCCTGTGTCTGACCTCCACCTCAAATGGAATTTCATTTTCTGAGTCCCTGTCGCAGGTTTCCCTTCTTCAGGAACTTTTGCAACACAGGATGGATCTTTTGACTTCCCAATAAGAACTGGAGAATTTAGGCCTTTTAAATTTTGAGTGTTGGTCTGTGAAACTGAATCAGAAGGATAGGCTGAAGAGCAATGTCCTAACTTTGGTAAAAACCTAGTAGCATTCAGAGACAAAATTTGACTCCCTCTGCTCAGTGCAACAAAAGCATTAATCTCGTTGTGGCAACTTAAAGTCATGATGGCTTTCTGATGTAAAGATGTTCCACTGGCTTCCTCTTGATTAATATTGCTGAGTTTCCTTTTTGTGGCACAACTCTTCCTGTATGTCACATCTTCATCTGGAAACACTGTGTGAAGGATGTGATTATAAATCTCTAAAATGGAACTGCTAAGAATCATTTCCAGAAGCCCAGGTACTGATGTCCCAACAAGTTTTTCAATCTCACTGAGGAGTCGCATGGACTTTAGTGAATCTCCACCACTATTTAAGAATCGTGACTCATCAGGAACCTTCAAAAGATTTTCTGGGAGATTCAGAATAGACTACAGAGGAGAGAACAGAGAAATATGGTGATGTAAAGGTCTAAAACCAAAAGACTTCAACATTTACAGGTAATATATAGAGATGAGAGTAAATACATTAATAATTAGAAATATAAGCTGGGTGTGGTGCCTCACACCTGTAATCCCAGCACTTTGGGAGGCCGAGGTAGGCGGATCACCTGAGGTCGAGAGTTTGAGACCATCCTGGGCAATATGGTGAAACCCCATCTCCACTAAAAACACAAAAATTAGCTGGGCGTGGTGGTAGGTGGCTGTAATCTCAGCTACTCGGAAGGCTGAGGCAGGAGAATTGCTTGAACCGGGTGGGTGGAGGTTGCAGTGAGCCAAGACTGTGCTACTGCACTCTGGCCTGGGTGACAGAGTGAAACTCCATCTCAATAATAATAATAATAACAACAATTAGAAATACAAAATAAATACTTTTAATAAAAATAAAGTTTTAAATTGTTTTATTTATGTTAAAGGAGACCACTGTGCTACCAATTTTGTCACAAATTCACCTAACAGTACAAAATATACTTCCCTTTACAGCAGTTTTCTTACCCATAAAACTGGGACAAAAACATTTGATTTATTAAGTATATAGCCCACAAGATACCAACAGCCAATATTTCTATAATATGGGAATAATTTATTTTTGGCTGCTTCATATAAATCAAAATTACTTTCCAATAATCTAAAAATGAAGTAGATGAGACTTTTATCTTAGATAACCTCTATTTTTAGACAAGGTTACACAGTTACATCCTCCTTTTAGAACCCTTTAGAAAAGAAATATCTACATTTTATTTAAGAAAAATTATTAACTTATTGAGATATATATATATATATATATATATATATTTTTTTTTTTTTTTAAATTCTCTCTAAAAGAACTTTGAGTTCTTTTAGAATAATGACATAAGCCCTAAGTATAACAAACAACACGCTGTGCTATAGCAAGATTCGGCTATTTTCTCAGCTCTGACAAGAGTGTTACTACATTCCACCGATCCTCTTAGAGAACAGTTATGTCAAAACAGGTTTTGTCTACTTACACCTTTTATGACTACTTCACTTTCAATAAATTTCTTTGTGGGGCATTTAATCTAATCTTACAGTAGAGAACCTAACCTTCATTTTAATACAAATTGGATAAATGAAGCTATACTATCTAACATCTGGGTAGCAGTTAACATTGTCAGAAAATTTTATGTAACTTGTTAGGGTATCATTCCTTAAAGACATAAAATAACTTCTTTATAATAATAATTTTATAACTTAAAAATTGTACCTTCCACAAATACTGTAATTTTTCCCAAAGGTCCTCTTTCCCACTGAGCTTATTCTCAGACTTCAGGTTTATATAGTTTAAATATATCTTGTTTAACTCAGAAACATCCATTTTGCCTTAATATAGAAAAGAAATAACAAATGTTTTAAAACATTTTAAAATTTCACTCAAAGCCTTTATATCTTCATTAGCCATATACATTTTTCTTTGTACAACAAAAGAAATCATGTAAAGAGTTTGTTGTCGACAGTTCTAAAAAGTAGTTTGATGCTACCAAGAATGTAGAGAGAAACAGATGAGAAGAAGGCCAGGCATAGTGGCTCACTCCTGTAATCCCAACACTTTGGGAGTCTATGTGTTTAAGACCAGCCTGGGCAATATAGCAAGACCCTGTCTCTACAAAACATTTAAAAATTGGCCTGTAGTCCTAGCTACTTGGGAGGCTAAGACGAGAGGATCACTTGAACCAGGAAGTTGAGGCTGCAGCAGTGAGCCTTATTGCACCACTGTACTCCAGCTTGAGTAAAGAAATGAGACCGGGCCGGGCGCGGTGGCTCAAGCCTGTAATCCCAGCACTTTGGGAGGCCGAGGCGGGCGGATCACAAGGTCAAGAGATCGAGACCATCCTGGCCAACATGGTGAAACCCCGTCTCTACTAAAAATACAAAAAAAAATTAGCTGGGCGTGGTGGCGTGCGCCTGTAGTCCCAGCTACTCGGGAGGCTGAGGCATGAGAATTGCCTGAACCCGGGAGGCGGAGGTTGCAGTGAGCCAAGATTGTGCCACTGCACTGCAGCCTGGTGCCTGGCGACAGAGTGAGACTCTGTCTCAAAGAAAGAAAAAAAAAAAAAAAAGAAGTGAGACCCTGTCTCAAAAAAACAAAAATAATAAAGGAGCTAATATTTATCCAATTTATCTCAATTTCAAGAGTTAAAGAAATAGTTCCATTAAATGAGCAACCACTGCATTTTAAAGTGTATATCATATAAAAATGAAATTGGGAAGGCAATATAATACAGTGACTAAGATTATATATTTTTAAGTCAAACAGTCCTAGACAGACAAAATAGACAATAATAAAATTAAAATAAGAAAGTCCTAGACAGAATATCAATTCTATCACTGCGATAGGTTAATTTGTATGTGTCAATGTGGGTGGGCCACAGGGTACTCAGATTGAACATTTTTCTGGGTGGATCTGTGAGGATGCTTCTGGATGAGATTAGTATATTAATCTAACTAAGGTCTCAGTAAAGTAGATTGGGCATCATCCAATCTGTTGAGGGCCAAAACAGAAAAAAGGCAGAGAAAGAATTTGCATCCTTTTTCTTTTTTTTGAGACAGGGTCTCACTCTGTTGCCCAGGCTGGAGTGCAGTGGCGGAAACTTGGCTTAATCCTACCTCTCCCTCCTGGATTCAAGTGATCCTCCCATCTCAGCCTCCCAAGTAGCTGGGACTACAGGCGTGCACCACCATGTTCAGCTACTTTTTTTTTTGTATTTTTAGTAGATAGGGTTTCACCATTTTGGCCAAGCTGGTCTTGAACTCACAACCTCAAGTGATCCCCCACCTTGGCCTCCCAAAGTGCTGGGATTACAGACGTGAGACATTGCGCCTGGCCTGCACCCTGTTTCTTGCGTCACTGTTTAAGCTAGGACATCTCATCTCCTCCTGTCCTCAAACCAGGATTTATATCATCAGCTTCCCTGATTCTCAGGCCTTAGGACTCAGACTGAATATACCACTGACTTTCCTAAGTCTCTAGCTTGTCAAAAGCAGATTATTAGACTTCTTAGCTTCCATAATTGCATGGGTCAATTCCTGACAATAAATCTTTTATATATCTATATATTGGTTCTGTTTCTCTGGAGAACCCTGACTACTATACTAACATAATCACTAACTGGCAAAATGATTTTTGGAAAATTACTTAACCTCTTTTTTTTTTTTTTTTTTTTTTTGAGATGGGGGTCCTGCTAAGTTGCCAAGGCTAGAGTACAGTGGTTACTGACAGACACCAACATAGCACACTGTACCATCAAACTCCTGGCCTCAAGCCATCCTCCACTTTAGCTTCACTGAGTGGCTGAAACTGCAGGTGCTCACCACCATGCCCCACCTAATTACCTAACCTCTTTAAGCCTTATTTTCCTCATCTGTATATAGGAATAATATCACCTACCCACAGGATTTTCTGAAAATAAAATAAATTATATAAAGCATTCAAAAGAGGGTCTATCACAATACATACTAGTACCATTTATAAAAATGATAAAGATTTATGTGACCATTAAGCTAGTTATGAATACAATTAGTATTATTTGGCACTGAAACATATCTGCTTTAAATTACCATGGGATGTAAATGGTAGAGTATCAATCAATACAAGCTCATCCGGGATTGCATGACTTGGAAGATGTTTCTGCAGTTCTTTAAAGATGTAATCTTTCACTAAAGCATCTTTAGATACTATGAAGAGAATTAATTTTTCCTGATTATACCAAGTAACTGCACAAGACTCCACTTGCTGAAGCTCTTCAGCAACCTATAAGAGAGATTATCCCAATTTACCAGTGAGGATATTTACAAACAAGCTTCCTAAAAGCTTACTTTTTTATATCTGAAATCTCAACAGTTGAATTAAGTTTTGGAATATACTGGAGATTTTTTTAAAAATTGTTTTTTACTGCTACTATTACTTGCACACAGGGTTCACAATATTTTTCAAAATAATAGGTCCTAAAGCAAAATAAGCCAGTTTCATTTCACAAATATCAAAATACAATTTGTCACTTATTTAAGGTATATCTCTTCATGCTGGAGATAAGGGGTACACTGAATTATTAATACTTCTTATTGTAATTTAACACTAACACAAAAATGACAGGTATAAATAGTACAGACCCCTGGCATAGAAAATTGGTGGTGGCTACTTCTAATACCTACATATATGAACAGATACTTAATATTTAAATAGTTTCACCTGTTGTACAAGTTCAATGTTAAGACGTTTGCCATGACGTTTGATCTGACTATCCTTTCGTCCCAGAAAAAATATCTCTCCATCTTTCACAGTCACAAAGTCTCCTGTGGCTCGCATTGTGCCAAGTGGTACTGTCACTTCATCGTCAAGAAAACACACTCTGTTTCTGCCACCTTCCCAAGATATAAACACAATGTCATACAAATCCAAGGGAAATATATTAAAAACCATCACATCAACAGCATCTCCCAAAGTTCAGTGACTAAACGTCAAAATTTAAATATTAAAAGGAGGCTCATTTAAAAATGTTATCTGATAAAATCAGACATAAAAAGTTCAGTAAATAAGCAAAGAGATAAAATGAAATGTATTTCTTAAAATTTATGGAATTAAAAAATTCTTAGACTACTGATTAAATTTTGCTTATAAATATAAATATGAAGGTCCAAGTTACAGTTTCTAAATTACCTTTATTAATGTATTATAAATTATCTGAAATAATTATTGTAATTTATTTGATATTTCATGACTCTATGAATGAGATTAAAAACTTATCACTGAAAAGCATGAGATAGACATATGAAAAACAGGAAAATAATAAAATTAACACATCAGATCTTTTTTCTTGAAAAAAAATAAATTCCCAATCAACAAATATAAAACAACCTAAAAATACTTGGCCACTGCCTTCTTGAATTGTGAAGCCATTAGTATCTCTAACTTCAACTACCGTTCCAAGAAGTGGAAATCCCAGGTGTACAGGCAATTCACATCTATGAAAATAAGACCCAGAGCAGATTTGAAAGTTTTCATTAGAATATTTTCCAATATATTTAAATCATACTGTATCAAAGAAAAAATGTTTGTTATGCTATAATTCAAAGACTGACAAGAGGAAAAGGTTAGGTGGAAAGGTTATCATGTTATTCATTACTATTTAGTACAAAATGTTGTAGCAGTATCTTGGCAGTAGCTATAGTAAGGAAGGTTCTGGATTCCCAACTTAAAATATTAGATGCAATCAGCAGGGCACAGTGGCTGACACCCATAATCCCGGCACTTTGGGAGGCCAAGGCGGGTGGGTCACGAGATCAAGAGATCGAGACCATCCTGGCCGACATGGTGAAACCCCATCTCTACTAAAAATACAAAAATTAGCTGGGCATGGTGGCGCATGCCTGTAATCCCAGCTACTCAAGAGGCTGAGGCAGGAGAATCGCTTGAACCCAGGAAGCAGAGGCTACAGTGAGCCAAGATCATGCCACTGCACTCCAGCCTGGACAACACAGTAAGACTCAAAAAAAAAAAAAAATCAGATACAATTGTGTTTCTAAAATTATTACCCCAGTGCTTATCAAAAACACTGTCAATGTTAAGATCCTAGAAATATACAGTCTCTCTTCTCTATACAGTATAAAGAAAACCCTTACTTTAAAGTAGAGTTAAGAATCTTCTCTGGAATCCTATAAATAGTCGCCCAACTTGATACCTCTGTGATACCATAAACATTAAATATTTGTGTTTTATTGCCTTCTCCTCTCCAGCTTCTGAGAACTGTCAATGATGGAAACACTTCACCACCAAGGGCTAATACTCGAAGAGAAGTAGTGGCTGACAAAACAGTTGACTTGATAAGCTGAGATCCAAATCTTCTAAGCAATGTTGGTGTTGCCTGTAGATAACATTAAAAATAATTTATTTATTTCCCTTCACTTCTTTAAAAAAGTAAGCATTGTAGTTATTATTTTAAAGTTAACATTCAGAGCCCACATGGAAATTAAGGCTGTGTTTAATAAATGGGAAATCCCATTTGGAAAACTACAGGTGCCAACATTATCTTCATTAAAAAAAATTTTTTTTTGAGGCAGGGTCTCACTCTGTTGCCCAGGCTGGAGTGCAGTGGCATGATCACCACTCAATGCAGCCTCAGCCTCCAGGCCCAAATGATCCTCCGACCTCAGCCTCCTGAATAGCTGGAACTACAGGCACATACCACCACACCAAGCTAATTTTTTAAATTTTTGTACAGATGGGGCCTGTGTTCCCCAGGCTGGTCTTGAATTCCTGCACTCAAACAATTCTACCTTGGCCTCCCAAAGCACTAGGATTACAGATGTGAGCCACCATGACTGGCCCAACATTATCTTCCTAATGTGGATATCAGTTACGCTTTAGAAAAAAACTTACACAAAAATATTACTTATGTTTCATCATACAGTTTACACAAAAAGATTTAAGGATAAAAAGAATAAAATCTATAAAATCAATTTACATTTCCTAACTCTGTATAAAAAGTATATAAAAGGGTCTAAAAATGTGCCTAAGCAAAACAATGAATAAGGATTTATAACAACTTTATTGAGATATAACTGACATACAATAAACTACTTTTAAGTATATAATTTAATATGTTTTGATATATGTATATACTAGTAAAATCATCACCACAATCAAAATAACGAACATAACTGTCTTAGTCCATTCAGATTACTGTAACAAAAATACTGTAGACTGGGTAAGAAATGCAGTGCCCCTGGTTCTGGAGATGGGGAAGTCCAGATCAAGATGTGGGCAGACTCAATGTCTGGTGAGCACTCTACTTCATAGATGGTACCTTCTTGCTGTGTTCTCACATGGTAGAAGGGACTAATACACAACCTCAGGTTTCTTTTATAAGAGCATGAATCTCATTAATGAGATTTCCACCCTCCTAAAGGCCCCACATCTTAATACCAACAGATTGGGAATTAGTTTCAACATGAATTCTGGAGAGACACAAACATTCAGATGACAGCAATATTCACATCACTCTCAAAATTACCTGTGTACCACTGTAAGTCTTCTCTCCAACTGGACCCCTTTATCCAGACAACCGCTGATCTATTTTCTGTTACTATAGATCAGAGTAATCTTGTATAATTCCATTCATATAAATTATATATAATTATACATAATTATAAATGGAAATTATATATTTCATTTATATAATGGAAGCATAAAATAGTCTGCTTTGACCTGGTTTCCTTCATTCAACATAATAGATACAATTCATCTATGCTGCTAAGTATATCAACAGTTTATTCCTTTTTATTGCTAAGTGGTATTTTATCATATGGATCAGGACTGGGTTTCACAGTTCCATATAAAATTTAAGATCAACTTATTCATTTCTACCAAAAAAGCCCACTGCACTTTGCTAGGAAGTGTGTTTAATTTACAGATCAATTTGGGGAGAAATGCAATCTCAACAATATTAAAACTTCTAATCTATAAAGACAAAATGTTATTTAGGTCTCTAATTTCTATCAACAATGTTTTATAGTTTTCAGTGTACAAATCTTGCTCTTTAGCTTTATTCCTATTTTATTGTTTTTGATGCTAGTATAAATATTATCTTAATTTCGCTTTTAGATATTTTTTATATACATATACTAAATATGCATGTACAAATACAGAAATACAAATGATTTTTGTATATTGATCTTCTATCCTCCAACCTGACTAAACTTTATTATTGCTAGCAGTCCTCCTCACCACCCCCACCCCCAACAAAATTTTCTATATACAAGATCACACCACCTACATATAAAGAGAGTTGTACTTCCTCCTGTCCAACGTAAGTACCTTTAATATTTTTCCTTCTTGCCTTATTGTACTGGCAAGAACCACCAGAATGTTAAAGTGGCAAAGGCAAACATGCTTGCCTTGTTTCCAGTCTTAGGGTGAAAGCATTCAGTCTTTTATCAAGTATGGTGTCATATTAGCTGAGGTTCTATTGTTGGAGCTCCTCTTCATACTGGAGAACTTCTCTTTTATTCCCAGTTGTTGGGAGCTTTTTAAAAAATCATAAATGGGTGTTAGATTTTGCCGAATTCTTTCTCTGCATATATTAAGATAGGCATGTGCTTTTTATTCATTATTCTTTACAGTGTATATATCATTGATAATTTCTGGATGTTAAACCAAACATGCATTCCTGGGATAAATCCAACATGGTCTCCTTTAAATTTCCTGAGACTTGTTTTGTGGCTTAGCATATGACTTATCCTATGAAATGCGCTAATGTGCTGAAAAAGAATTCTGCAATCACTGGATAGAATGTTCTATATATGGCATTTGGTTGATAGTGTTGTTCAAGTCTTCGATATCATACTTGCTGATTTATGTCTAGTTTTTCAACCAATTATTCAAAGTGGGGTATTAAAATCTCTAGCTACTGAGTTGTCTATTTATGTTTTCAATTTTGTTCCATTTTTGTTTCAGGTATTTGGAAGCTCTATTTTTAAGTGGATATACATGTATAATTGTTACAGCTTACTGATATAACAATGTACTTATTAATGTACTGACAATCTTATCCTTATAAAATTGGTTTTTTTTTTTTCTTTTAATTGCCAGTACATTTCTTTGTTAGTAACCTGCCTGGACTAAATCCATGAAATCTGTCTCTTCTAGTATATTTGGCCACTGATGTTGCTACTTAGTTGTTTATTAAAAAATTAATGTTCTTTTCAGTTGGAGTTCCCATGGGTCATCCCATGTGTAAGAAGAGCAAGTGATCAATCAATGATCACTAGACAGACGGCCCAAATGTGGACTGTCCAAATGTAGTCACTGGTTGGACAGACAACTTGAATTTTAATTCAGAAAAAATGATTTAAGGTCATGGCTTGTAAAATATTTACAAAGTAGAATGACTCTACATCCCAGTAGGTACTTACTATCCCAAATCTGTATGATAGGGGAGCTCAGTCAAAGTTCAGGTCATTTTCAAGCCTGATCCATCTTTTATTTTCTATGGGCCCTTTTGTGTCTCTTACGTGCATGCACACAGCCTCAGGTTCAGTCAGGAGTTGTATCAGCCCTCTGGTCTCTGATTCACACGAGTGCAACCTCAGCCAGGAATATGTTTATCCTACCACCACTGTAATCTCAGGCTAGAGGAGCTGTTGACCTCTCAGGCTAGGGAGCTGTAGGGCTCCCTACTGGCCTACTTCAAGATCATCATTTCTATAATGATGCTGCTGGTCATGGGCATTACTGACTATTATAAATTAAGTGAGCCCTTTCAAACAGAAAGAATCTGTGTGATGACTGAATTGAGACAGGGATGATACGAGCAGACCCATACTAGAATGCCACGAAGTTCCACTATTTTCACATAAAATTCAGCAGTTTTAAAAAACATAAACATTTCTAAGATTGCTATATGTCTTTGGTTGATTTCCAAATGTTGAAATGCTTTTTTTTCCATTTTGTCCAGCTTTATAGTTGCTATTTTGGGAAAGAGGATCTGTTAATCTCTTCACTTGGCCAGAGCCAAAAGTCTCTTGGAAATAAAGACTTTTAAATTATTTCTTTCAATGAAATCTAAGGAGTCATAACAGACAATGTGAATTTTAATTCAGAAAAATTATTTAAGGTCATGGCTTGTCAAAACCTTTACATAGTAGAATGATTCTACACCCTCGTAGGTACTTATGTTCCAGTTAAGATTCTGGTTTTTAGTAAAAAATTATGATGACAACACTATAAAACATCCTAAATCATGCTCTTAACTGTTATGCCAAGAGGTTTACTGTACTGAAAATCTCTTGTCAAAATAAAGGCTGAAATGGTCCTGGCTCTTCATTTTCACTAAGCCAAATTTCTATTTTCTGGCCTAACTTCTGTAAGGATAATATCAACTTTAAACTCAACAAATAAATGCACATCTATGATACTCAGCAAAATTAAAAAAAAAAAAAAAATGGAGGCCAGGCGTGGTAGCTCATACCTATAATCCCAGCAATTTGGATGGCTGAAGCGGGTGGATCACTTGAGGTCAGGAGTTTGAGACCAGCCTAGTCGACATGGTGAAATCCTGTGTCTACTAAAAATACAAAAATTAGCCGGGTGTGGTGGCACATGCCTGTATTCCCAGCTGCTCGAGAGGCTGAGGCAGGAGAATCACTTGAACCCAGGAGATGGAGGATGCAGTGAGCTGAGTTCACAACACCGTACTCCAGCCTAGGTGACAGAGTGAGATTCTGTCTCAAAAAAATAAAAAATAAATAAATGGAAATACTTTTCAGATACTCATAAACTGAAACGATAAACTGAGGGGCAGAATACAAGTCAGCATCCTTTGCTAGTAAATCATTCTAGACATACAAAAATGAGACTTAGCAGATAATAGAAAAAACAGGGAATGTTAAAGCTTCTTCCAAGTTTTTTAAGGAAAAACTCAGGAAAAATGGGAAACATTATTACGCTGACCTATTCCTAGGTACCAATCTAATATTTTACTCTAACATGTTTTACTTTTAGACCATACATGGTGACTTATGCCTATAAGTAATCCTAGCACTTTAAGAGGCTGAGGTGGGAGGATCACTTGAGCCCAGGAGTTCAAGACCAGCCTGGGCAACACAGGGAGACTCTGTCTCTACAAAGATTTAAAAAATTAGCCAGGCATGATGGCATGCACCTGTGGTCCCAGCTACTTAGAAGGCTGAGGTGAGAGGATCACTTGAGCCCCAGATGTCAAGATTGCAGTGAGCCGTGAGCACACCACTACTGCACTCCAGCCTGGGTGACAAAGCAAGACCCTGTCTCAAAAAACAAAGTTTTAAAGGGCATCAAGTTTAAATAATATAACTTTGTTACCCAGAGTATATAAATAAAAAATGTCCAAATATATTTTAGGTTTGTAATAAACCAAAAATCAATCCTTTCTTTCCCAAGAAACCTCTTATTCCTGAAACAAATAAGAGAGGTCTTTAATTTTCTCCAAAGCTTAGTCTATTTCACTTTGGGGCCTTTTCCCCTTATAGTAACTCAATATATTCTATTCTTTTAAATTTTCAAAGCTTTAGTAGTATGTGTTTGATAGCTTTTTCTTTTTCTTTTTTTTTTTTGAGACTGAGTCTTGCTCTGTTGTCCAGGCTGGAGTACAGTGGCATAAGCTGGGCTCACTGCAACCTCCACCTTCTGAATTCAAGAGATTCCCCTGCCTCAGCCTCCTGAGTAGCTGGGATTACAGGCATGCACCACATGATCGCTAATTTTTGTATTTTTAGTAGAGATGGTGTTGTGCCATGTTGGCCAGGCTGGTATGGAACTCCTGACCTCAGGTGATCCGTCCGCCTCGGCCTTCCAAAGTGCTAGGATTACAGGCACGAGCCACCGCGCCTGGCCTTGACAGCTTTTAAGGTCCCTGCTTCATGTCCAATTAGGTCTGGGTAAGGTTTTTATTGGTAAATAAAATCTGTCTAAGGAGCGCTTTAGTATATGAAAACTGTATATATATTAAAGCAAAAATCCTTGTTGACTTATACATCATTTGAAAGAAACCGGATTTAGGAGAGAGAAGATGAACCCTGACAACACAGCTAAAATTAAGTATAAGAAAAGGCGTGTGCCTTACACAAAGGAAAGGACAGCCTGTCAGCTTCTATACCTCTCCTCCTTACTTAAACCAATACAAATGTGATCTACTGATAATATTCCCAATAACTCTTGTTAGCTAAATAAAACCACCATGAAAGTGTATGAAAAATTTGTCATGTTCTTTTAACAGTAAGTTTCTATCAGTTTCTCAGAAAAATCTGATCTCAAAAAGGTTAAAAACGACTGCTAAAGTAAATTTATCTGAGATTGTGCTAAAACGTCAAACAAGAGGATGAGAGTTAAAGAGGTAGAATTCATTGACCTAACATAGAAGGAAAGTCTCCTTCCCTTTTAGTAACTATCAATCAAATCTATAAAGGAACTTTGCAAACATTCCCTGAGAAACATGCTCCTTGAATTTTACAGGTAAATAAAACAGTTATAGTAATACCTTACCCAGATCCACAGAATTCACAGAATGACTCACTAACAGATGAGAATTTTTATCCACTGACACCAACAAGCCACACTGTTGTGTTCAATTTATATATATATATATGCATTAGGATGAAAAACACATTGCCTTAAAAAAGTTCAAAGCATCAAATTTTGTTTTTGTAGCAGAAATTTAATATCCTCTCAATTCTCGTTATCCTGGATAAAAACCTGATAATTGTAGTTTATCAAAATAGACGGCCAGGTGTGGTGGCTCACACCTGTAATCCCAGGACTTTGAGAGTCCAAGACAGGCAGATTGAGGAGTTGGAGACCAGGAAGCCAGGAGTTTGAGACCAGCCTGGCCATCACTGCAAAATACCATCTCTACGATACAAAAATTAGCTGGGCATGGTGGTACATGCCTGTAATCCCAGCTACTCGGGAGGCCAAGGCACAAGAACCTCTTAAACCCAAAAGTCAGAGATTACAATGAGCTGAAGTCGCACCACTGTACTCCAGACTGGGCGATATGAGTGAGACGCTGTCTCCAAAAAAAAAAAAAAAAAGACAATGGGCACTAATAATTAAGATGCACATGCATATGCACATAGGTACACAAATATAACACACTATGGTCTGAATGTTTGTGTCTCCCCCACAAATTTGTATGCTGAAATCCTAACTCTCAAGCCAGGCACAGTGGCTCACGCCTGTAATCTCAGAACTTCAGATGCTGAGGCAGGAGGATCACTTAAGGCCAGGAGTTTGAGACCAGCCTGGCCAACATGGTGAAACCTGTCTCTACTAAAAATACAAAAATTAGCTGGGTGTGGTGGTGGGCGCCTGTAATCCCAACTACTCTGGAGACTGAGGCACAAGAATCGCTTGAACTGGGAGGCGGAGTGAACCAAGATCATGCCGCTTAACTCCAGCCTGAATGACACAGCGAGGCTCTGTCCAAAAAAAAAAAAAAAGCAAGCAAGCAAGCACGCAAGCAATCCTAACTCTCAAGGCAATGGTATTAGTATTAGGAGGTGGGGGCTTTATGAAGTGATTAGATCCTGCATGTAGAGGCCTCATGAATAAGATTAGTGCCCTTATAAAACCTTTTCCATCATGTGAAAACCCAGTAAAAAGACAGCAGTCTAATGAATCAACGAGCAGGCCCCTCACCAGAGATCAAATCTCCTGATGACTTAATCTTTGACTTCCCACCTCCAGAACTGCAAGAAATAAAAATCTGTTGTTTATAAGCTACCCAGTTTATGGTATTTTATTACAGCAGCCTGAATGGACTCACATACACACACAATCAGGAACTAAGCTACACTGTCTCATTTAATTCTATTTGAGACGGGTAAGATTTCCATTTACAGATAAAACCTAAGGTTCACAGCAGTTAAACACTTAACTAAGATATCTACATATTATAATATGCATATAATATGGCTAATTCTTGACTACCTTTAACTACATACAATGTAGTAACTTAAGACTTGTGTACCAGTCATATACTTATGTACCTGCATGACCTAATCACCAGTCAGATACACATTTAAATAACATTTTAAAAGGCCAAATTTCAAAAATACTTGTTTCTGTAGGTTAATGTAAAGTATATTGACGTAAAAATAAGAAAATCTATATTCCTAACTTGATTATATTTTAATTTACTTATACTAGCTTTTCATAAGAAACACAATATACATAGATTTTAAGACAGAAGCAGTAGCCTATCCTTCTCAAATCCAACAAATTTGAGTCAAAGTAAAGGTCCTCTGGTTATTACAGTATGCACAAAATACACAGTAAAATAATTTTCTAGGCAGAATTCACTTATCTTTTTTCATTTTCAAATTTTAAAAAGTCACATCAGGAGGAGGCAGCCCTTGATAATCTAACCAGATTATATTAAAACATTGTAAAGAACTACAGGAATAAAAAATATTCTCTAAAACACTTAAAATATTGAAAAATGATAAACAAAACACTCACTGCTACTAAAATGTACCTGCAAAACAGTCACTCTGTGATGGGAAAAGAGAACAGTGGCTAATTTTGATGGAAGTAACTTGATAGAAGTTGGTACAATAAGCAGAGAGGCACCATTTGATAGAGCGAGAAATATTTCCACAACAGAAGGATCAAAGGTCAGAGGTGAAGCCAGAAACAAAACATCTTCTTGTGTGATGTCAAAAAGTACCCTAAGGCAAAACAGAATGCAGTTATGAGAAATGTCAAATATTCAGTAAGCACATACACTAAAAAATAGTTTATGGTATTCAAGTTTCTAAATGTTGGCCAGATTTTATTCTTAGATTAACCAAAATGGTGCTGCCAAAATTCAGGAAATCTTAATAAAAGAAAGAATTAACAGCCATTTAAAGCAATATCCATGTTTTACCAGACATATTTTATCATTTGCGATGACTTTCGACATGTCAACTTGATTGAACTACTGTCCCCGGAATTCCCTCTCTAGTATGTTTCCTGTTAGGGAAGGAAACGAGGGATATTCTCTTGAGAGCCGAAGAACAGAAAGGAGGCTGCTGCTTAGAAGCACACCCGTCTTCTTCAAGCAGTTATTGAAGCAAACCCTGTAGTCCCTAGTCGGCTGATTTACTTAATCAAAGGGGAGATTATTCAGGGTTGGCTGGATTTACTTGGAAGGCCTTTAGGAGAGGTTTTAGGCATTCTCTGAAGAAGAAAGCCAAAGAGCAGTTGGGTCTCCAATTAAACTCCCTTCCCCCAAATCTGATTTCACCTGGGGTCAGTCTCGTGACCACGGGATTCCAGCCTGCTTGGAATCACCTCTTCCTGACTGATCCCTACAGACTTTAGACTTGCTTAGCCAGCTCCCAAAATTGTGTAAACCAATTCCTTATAATCAATCCCTGATCTAAATCCTGGTTCTGCTTGTCTGGTAGAATTCTTATTCTGTCATACTTATTCAGTGACGCTTAATAGAAACTTCTGACTCCCCTTTCTCACTATTTAGCATTTTCTCTCAGTATCTGAACAAAAAGCAGAATAAGAATATATGTGGTAAGGCTATTATAGAGCATGGACAGTCATTGTTGGGCCTATGGCACTTCTAATTTGAACACACAAACCCTACTATACCTAAGAGCAGGGATTACCTTAATTTCAAAAGAGCTTCAAATTTGGCATAAAGATTTTAAAACTCTATGTTTATGGTGTCAAGGGTAAAATTAAAAACTCATTTTACGTTAAAGGTGTAGGGGTCAAAAGGCTGTGATACTTTTCCTCACCATTGTAAGGCTCACAGCCAACCCTCCTACAAATAAAAGTTTAAGAAGAGAAAAGCATAACAAATTTATTTAATCAAAGTTTTATGAAACATGGGAGGCTTCGGAATGAAGACCCAAAGACCCAAGGGAAAAGTTCCACTTTAATGCTTAGATTCAATAGAGTGGACTGCTGTGTAGAAATGTGATTGGACAAAAAGGGAATGAGTAATAAACTGAGTCGGGAAATCCAGCAAGGCCTGCCTTTTAAATCCTTGGCCTCTCTGTGTGGCATTTCTTCCTCCTAGGTATAGGGCAGGACCCCTTCTGGAATGAGTCTTATGTTCTACTTTCAGACAAGGTAAGAGCAATTTCTTTACAGCCAACTGTTACATATAAAGGTTGGAGTAATATTTCTATATTTATAGTTTTTTAGGTTTTATTTTTTTTTTGAGACAGTCTCACTCTGTCACCCACGCTGCAGTGGTGCGATCTTGGCTCACCGCAACCTCTGCCTCCTGGGTTCAAGTGATTCTCCTACCTCAGCCTCCACAGTAGCTGGGACTATAGGCATGCGCCACCACACCGGGCTAATTTTTTTGAATTTTCAATAGAGACGGGGTTTCAACCATGTTGGTCAGGCTGGTCTCGAATTCCTGACCTCAAATGATCCATCCACCCTCGCCTCCCAAAGTGCTGGGATTACAGGCATGAGCCACTGTGCCCGGCCTCTAGGTTTTATGACTATCTTTGAGGGAGAGGGGTTCGGTTTCTATGGCCTGCCTTGGGGAGAAAGGGAAGCAAGAGAAAGAGGAGGAGGAGAAGGTCTGAAAGAGACTTTACTTCTGAAGTCCTTCCAATGTCCTTCAGTTCAAAGTACTTAGCATGCCAAAGTGCCATACATTGGGGTATCATTTTCTGAGCCCAACAAAGGCTACCCTCAAACTTCAAGTTTTAGAGGAATTATTCTTCACATATATTATCTAACTTCTTACTTAGGTATTCAGGGGAGAGCAAACTTTCTAACTTGCTTCCAATGAAACTTAAATTCTGAGAATATTTTTAGTTTCTCAATGCTATGAACAAAAATGGTCAAGGTTATGCATGCAATGAAGGATAAATGCTCCAGGTAGTTCGTTTCAAGAAAGCAGCTTAAGATGCATTCAATATAAGAAAAGTTGGAAAAAATAAAAGAGAGAGAGACAGATTTTTTTTCTTTTTTTTTTTTTCATTTTAGGTTTTGGGGTACATGTGAAGAATATGCAAGATTGTTGCAAAGGTACACACATGGCAGTGTGATTTGCTGCCTTCCTCCCCCTCACCTATATGAGACAGATTTTAAAGGAAGAAAAAAGGTGGAATGCAACACATGTTTAAACATATTACTTGTGAAGCTTAGACTGGGTATCTAACATATTGTTTCTCACTTTCCCAACCACCATATGAAGCAGGTATGATTATGTGGGAACCTAACTCACAGCCCAAGTTGGTATGAAGATTATTTTAAGGTAAAGACATTTGAGGCAAGGTGTAGTGACTCACGCCAGTAATCCCAACACTTTGGGAAGCTGAGGCAGGCGGATCACCTGAGGTCAGGAGTTTGAGACCAGCCTAGCCAAAATGGTGAAGCCCTGTCTCTATTAAAACTATAAAAAATGAGCTAGGCGTGATGGCGAGTGCCTGTAATCTCAGCTACTAGGGAGGCTGAGGCAGGAGAATCACTTCAATCCAGGAGGCGGAGGTCGCAGTGAGCTGAGATCATACCATTACACTCCAACGGCAGTGTGAAACTCGGTCTCAAAAAAAAAAAAAAAAGCAACCAGAAGGGATTTCTAACAGGCAAATCAACTGAATTAAGTTGAAGCACAAAACAGGTATCAAGAAATGTGTATACTTTAGTCATAAATCAACTCTTCAATCCTCATTAAGCAAATGTTTGCTCCCATTTCATAGACCATTCTTACCACTGCTGGGCCAGTGACTCTTATCTTAGTAGACTGTCTCTCCACCTCCCCCAGATTCCTCATCTGCTTTATTCTCTTCAAGTTCTTCCCCACATCCCCACCCCCACATCACCTCCCACATTCTTAGGTATGACTTGGCCTTCTGCTTCATACAAAAGTTAAAAGCTACCGGCTTCCCCTAACACCAAGAAATGTATGTACTTTATTATCCTAATTTTTTTGAAGGTATCAAAAAAAGAGGCATTCCACTCAGTATTTAAAATAATGCCATTCCCTCCCATATCAATGTATCTTATTCCTTTGTTAATACTTCTACTATTAATTCATTATTCAAACAAACCTTCTCTACCAATTCCCTACCCTCAGCCTATAAACTGCTCTTTGTTTTTGTTTTTAAAGATAGGGTCTCACTCTGTCACCAAGGCTGGAGTACAGTGGTGCAATCACGGATCACTGCAGTCTTGACTTCCTGGGCTCAATCAATCCTCCCACCTTAACCTCCCAAGTTGCTAGGACTACAGGCACATACCACCATGCCCAGGTAATTTTTTTCATGTTTCTTAGAGACAGAGTCCCACTATGTTACCTAGGCTAGTTCTGAACTCTTGGACTCAAGCAATTCTCCTGCCTTAGCCTCCCAAAGTGTGGGATTACAGGCATGAGCCACTGTGCCCAGCCAACCTCTCCCATCTTAAAGACAAAACAACTATGTCCATCCCAGAATTCCTTCTTTTCCATTAAAACCAGTTTCTAGAAAATAACACTTGACTTTTGTTACCTCTATTTTGGTATCTCCTATTCACTTACTGCCAGCCTAATGTAATCTAGCTGCAACCTTAGGTACTTAAGAAGTCACTAAAGACCATATTGTCAATTACAATAGCCATCTTTTTCTACCAGCATTTAACCATTTTTTCTTTCCAGGCCTGCATGTGCCATCCAATACCATAGGTCCACTGAGCACTAAAAATGTGGCTAGTCCACACTGAGATGTGTAAGTATAAAATATACCCCAGATTTTGAAGATGATTAACATAAAAATAATTTTTATATTGATTACATATTGAAGTAATGTTTTGGAATATAAGGAATTAAATAAAATATATTGTTAAAATTAACTTCATTTAATTCATTTTTCTTCCCTTTTCATTCATTCCATTTTACTTTCGAATACTGCTTAAAAATTTAAAATTACAGGCCGGGCGTGGTGGCTCACACCACTTTGGAGGCCAAGGCAGGCGGATCACCTGAGGTCGGGAGTTCAAGACCAGCCTGACCAACATGATGAAACCCCATCTTTATTTAAAAATTAAAAAAAAAAATTAAAAATAAAAATTAAATAATTTAAAATTACATCAAACTTAAAATTACATAAAATTACGTATGTGTCTCATGAGGTTTCTATTTCTGTTTCCTCCTTTGATTTCCTAGGACTACATCCCTAAGGTTCATATCCTCCAGTCTTTCTTGGCAAATGAAGAATAGCAACTTTGGAGTTTTCTTATCTCTTGACCACATCAGTAAGTCAAACTCCACAATACTACTATAAGAGTGAACTTAATAAAATGAGAATATTTTAATGGTTCTCCATCATCTACTGGATTAAGTTCAGACCTCAACTGGACATACCATGCTCCTGATCTTTCACTGTTTCCTCGGCCCTGCTCTGACATGTTCTAGCAGGACAAACTCCTTTCTCATATAACTCTGCTAGTACTTCTGCTAGGAAAACCTTTCCTCCCTTTTTATTAATAATTAAGATGCAAAGCTTCTACCCATGTCATTTGTTTGTGTCTGGCCCCAGGCTTCGATGAAACAGGTGAAGGGCCTAGTCTGCAGGGAACTAAAGTTCAGATAGAGCTGAAACAAAAAATACTTAATTACTTCTTAGGACTATCAGTTTAGGAACAAGAGTTACAAAAACAAATGTTTTAAAATTCTTTTTTTCCCTTTAAAATACAAGATTTTTTTGTTTGGGGTATTTTTTTGTTTTTGTTTTGTTTGTTTTGTTTTTGAGACAGTCTCACTCTTTCACTCACACTGGAGTACAGTAGCATATTCTCAGCTCACCCCAACTTGCATCTCCTGGGTTCAAGCAATTCTCCTGCCTCAGCCTCTCAAGTTGCTGGGATTACAGGCGCCTGCCAACACATCTGGCTAATTTTTCTATTTTTTTTTTAGTAGAAACAGGTTTCACCATGTTGGCCAGTCTGGTCTCAAGTGATCCACCCACCTCAGACTCCCAAAGTGTTAGGATTACAGGGGTGAGCCACTGCACCTAGCCTAAAATATAGGTTCTAAGAAAGAGTCAAAGAATAGAACTTACCGAAAATGCTGGATATTGGGTACTATACACTGATGAGGCACTCTGACAATCTTTGGTATTCCTGTAGTCCCCGATGTATGTAGAACATAGGCTAAGCAATGCTCTAGCCTCAGATCCATGTGTTCTTCTGCTTTTTCTTCATTGACATGCTCAGAACTTACACTATTTCTTATTTTTTCTTTTTCATATTTCTCTTTTCCATCACTTAGCATCAAGTCCACCTCAGTATTTTTCCAGTGAAGTCTGAAGAGCACTAAGTCATTATGTTCTACTGTAAATGTATCACAGTTCAATGTTTCATGAAAAGATTTAAATTTCTGTGTGAAATGGGAGACAAAGTTTACAATATTGGTATATTAAAAAAACACTTTTTTAAATATAGAAATAATAGAAATACAGTCATCCTTCAGTATCTACTGGGGAATTGGTTCCAGGATCATCTCAGATACCAAAACCTGAAGATGAAGAAGTCCCTTATATAAAATGGTGCTGTATTTGCATATAAACCATGCACATCCTCCTATATACTTTATTTTTTAAATTTTATTTTTATTTTTATTTTTTTATTGCATTTTAGGTTTTGGGGTACATTTGAAGAACATGCAAGATAGTTGCATAGGTACACACATGGCAGTGTGATTTGCTGCCTTCCTCCCCTCCTATATACTTTAAATCATCTCTAGATTACTTATCACTAATACAAAACAAATGCTATGTAAATAGTTGCTATATTTTAAAATTTGTATTAGTTTTTAACTGTTGCATTGTTTTTTGTTGTTGTTTTTTCTGAATATTTTCTCTTTTTTTTTCTTGAGACAGAGTCTCACTCTGTTGCCCAGGCTGGAGTGCAGCAATATCATCTTAACTGACTGCAATCTCGAACTGTTGGGCTTAAGGGAACTTCCTGCTTCAGCCTCTTGAGTAGCTGGAACTACAGGTGTGCACCACCACACCCAGCTAGTTTTTTTATTTTTAGCAGAGACAAAATCTCACTATGTTACCCAAGCTAGTCTCAAACTCCTGGCCTCAAGTGATGTCCTGCCTCAATCTCCCAAAGTGCTGGGATTACAGGTGTGGGTCCCAAATGTTTTCAATCTACAGTTGGTTGAATCCATGGATGGGAAACCACCAGATACAGAGGGTCAACTGTATTCATTTAGTCATTCAACATGACTTTTTTTGTGGAGTACTTGCTATATACCCAGGGATAAAAAGACAAAACTCCAAGAGCAAAGTGCTGTACTTACTTTCAAAAACACCAGACATATAAAAGCAATTATAATGCAACGTGGTATGATAATGAAGCAGGCCTGAAATGTTAATGGGAACAGAGAATGCTGAATTTCACTCTGCCTAGAAGGTTAGAGATTGCTTCACAGGTAATATTTGTTATAAGTAGCTATTCTCCAAATAATGAAAATGGGCACGTTAGGCCAACAGCCAACATTGAGGATCTGACCTGGGAAAGCCGGTAGGTGAACATTAATCATTCCAATTAAGGTAAAGAAAAGGGGGTTGGGGTGGTAGAGGGAGGGTGAGTTGCGTTATTGATAGGAGATGAGATGCAAATCCTTAATAACTTTGTACACTCAGCACTAAGGAGTTTAGATCTTAACCCATAACTGACAGGATCCAACTGAAGGTGGCAATAGCATAGATTAGACTCTGTCAAGGACAGAATAATAAATGAGATAAGTAATAAGTGAGAACCATTTAATGAGTCTTTTGTGGTAATTCAGATATACTGTATGGTCCTGAACTACTATTCCATTGCAAGAGGAGTGGTTAGAAAGGGTCTATCAGCAAAGAACAAATAAGACATGGTGACCTTCTGGATATGGAGTGAGTCTAAGATAATTGTTAGGTTTCTGGCTCAGGTGATTTGGTGGATGGAGACAAATTAATGCAGAAGTGAGTTGGAAGAGATGATAAACTGAATTTGTACATGTTGAAAGTAAGGTTTCTTTAAATATATCTTTTTTGGTTGACAAAAACAGCTTAATGAAATATAATCTAAGTTTTCACATTAAATAAATCAACATAAATAATGAGAAAAAGGTTACAACCCAGAAGCCTACAGTGTTTCCTTTGTGTGTTTGGTATATGTATATGTATTGAGTAGGGGATGTGGAATGGCCTGTAATATTGAAAAAATTAAAGGCCTACATACTCTTCAGATCTAGCTCAAAACCATCCTTCCCCACTAAAATTCTACTATATCTATTAAATTATGTTTAATTAACTTAGGACAATTACCACACTATGTAGATGGTATAGGTTCAGGAGTATTAACTTTTCTCTCCAACTACAGTATAAAAAGGGGGAAGGCTTACATACCAATGCCCTCCCAATTATCCTGTCCTACTGCAAAGTTTCTCAACTTCAACACTACTGATATTTTGGACCAGATAATTCTTTGTGGAGTGCTGTCTTATACATGTAAGAATTTTAGCAGTATCCCTGGCCTCTACCCACTAGATTGCTAGTAGCAGCCCACTTCCATCATTACAATAAAAAATTTGTCTAGACATTGCCAGTTGGCCCAAGTTGACAACTACTACTTTAGTGGATGCTGGGTATACGTACAGTAGATGCTAAAAAATACTTACTAATTGGTCCTGTGCTAAATGAAAGAAGAACACTTACACTATCATCAAAATCATGGAAAAGGAAGCAAGGTTTTGCTATGCCCAACTTCTTACTAGCCATAAAGAATACCTTGATAGTGACAATTAATACTGATACTCAGCTACCTCTAATAAAATGTTCACTAAGTTTGCTAAAAAAAAAAAAAAAAAAAAAAAGAAATATCACATCCTTATTTCAGTTTTGCTTACTTATGAACAATGGAATAACCAATCTGAGTAGTAGAGGAAACTGGCTACATACTAATAAATGTTTATTTTTAAAATATTTATTGACCAGGCCAGGCATGGTGGCTCATGCCTGTACTCCCAGCACTTTGGGAGGTTGAGGTGGGTAGATCACTTGAGGTTAGGAGTTCAAGACCAGCCTGGCCAACATGGTGAAATCCTGTCTCTATTTTAAAAAATATGTACAAAAATTAGCTGGGTATGGTGGCACACACCTGTAATTCCAGCTACTTGAGAGGTTGAGGCACAAGAACTGCTTGAACCTGGGAAGCAGAGGCTGCAGTGAGCTGAGATCACACTACTGCCCACTGTACTTCAACCTGGGTAACACAGTGAGACTCTGGCTCAAAACAAACAAACAAACAAAAACAAAACAAAACAAAAAAAGCTTTGATTCTCTAGAAAGTCCCCCATATATCTCAAGTTCTTGATACTTCTTACACACATACACACACACACACACACACACACACACACCACACACACACACAGCGGGGGGCGGGCAGGGAGGGGGAATGCATTTAAGTTACCCCAATACAAATTGGCTCATATAGAAAATGGGCAAAAACAGGCTACATTGAATATATTTTTATAATGTTCTTCCTCTTTAGTAAAAATGTCTTATAAATAAATTAATAAGAAGCACGGGCTGCATCTTGCCGAACATATAATACCAATTCGTGGCCCAAAAGCAGTGTTTCTTGGTTATATCTTTGGTTGACAATCATTTAAAAATAAAAAACAAGGCGGGGCGTGGTGGCTCATGCCTGTAATCCCAGCACTTTGGGAAGCCGAGGCGAGTTAATCCCAGCACTTAGGGAGTTCAAGACCAGGCTGACCAACATGGAGAAACCCCGTCTCTACTAAAAATACAAAAAAAAATTTTATTTTGCTCTTTAGTGAGTGGAGATCAAAGGTATTGCTAAATATCCTATAATGTATGGAACACTCCTCACAACAATTACTCAACCCTAAATGTCATAGTGCAAAGACTAAGAAACCCTGCCACATTTAGCAGACTTAGGAATCCAGAAGGGAGAAGGAAGGAATGCTTCAATTAAAAGATAAATGTAATACACACAAAAAACAATTGATACACCCAGACTTACATTAATTTGCTTTTTCTCAACAAGGATATACTTTAGATTACATTTTTTCATAAAATGAGTTGATAATGATGGTGGTGAATCTGGATCAATAGGTACATAAGCAGCTGGGACTTGGAGAATTCTAAAGAAACAAGTACATGGCATAGAATGTCTGTTAATTTAATATCTGTTTAAGCATTTCTATTTCTCTGTATCTTTATTTTTTTGTAGCAGCATAAAAATGGTTTCTGGAGCACTTTATTGCTGATAAGAAATTCCCAATGTTTTCATTGACACATAATTGGTTATAAACACTGACATTTTATCTTTTCTTAATAAAAATTCTGAGTATTTACTATGTTAAATTCTTATCAATTAATATAGAGAAATATAAGATTTTTTTAAAGTTAAGCATTTTAAGTAGTTTCAGGTATACTTTAAGGAGGCTAGATCTTTGCACATAGTAAATTGTCAATAAATTTTGTCAATGATTGAGTGAAAGTAAATTGTTGTTGTTTGTTTTTGTTTATTTGTTTTATAGAGATGGGATCTTGTTAAGTCACCAACTCCAGGCCTTAAATAATACTCCAGCTTCAGCCTCCCAAAGTGCTGGGATTTACGGCCATGAGCCACTGGGCCCAGCCAAAAGTAAATCTTTGAACATCTTTTGCCTTATACTTAATTTAATGAGTATATAAATAATTAAATTACTAAATAATTAACGTACTAAGGCACATATCATAGAATGAATAAACTTCTCTATTTCTTTGGCAGTTTATATTTATTGAAGAATTCTAGAATAGAAATCACTATATGAGGATAATATTCTAGAACAATTTAAATGATAGAACATTTTGCAAATATTTGTTGGAATAGTGCCTTCCAATGGGTTCATATTTCAATCTATATCAACTATTTTCCAAAACTCTAATTTGCTGATTTATTGAATACCTCAGTGCCTAAAATTTCAATTGCAGGCAAAAAAGATAGTCATGATGTCTGTGAAATCCTTGTTTTCTTTTACCTAACAGCAAAGTGTTATAATTGTTTTAACAGATTAATGAAGCCCTTATATTTTGGAGATACTAAAATGTTCTATTAGTGAAAACTTCTAGTCTCTCCTATAATTAATCTAAATAATTAAATCAAATTAAATTAAATTATAATTAAATTATAGTATAATTTAAATTATAATTAATTATAATAAATAATTTAGAATAATTAATTTAAATAATTAAAAATAATACTAGGGGAAATGTGAGCTCTTCTAGCCTCTCTATAATTGACCAAACAATACAGAAAAATCCAATAGTAAACAGAACAGTAACTTGTAATATACTCTATTAAAAAAATTACGTTAGCTTAGAGTAACATCAAATGTATAGTTCTAAAATATATTACCCTAAAATCCAAGAGGGTAAGTCTATCCCAGGTTGGCAGTAGAGACCAATTTCCCGAATCCCTTGAAAGTCACAGTGTAACAGCAGAAAATTTGATAATTCAGAAGCAGCATTAACCACAGTCTTGTAGGTGTAGTAAACTGGAAGCTGGTTGTTGCATTCATCAAAACATACAGCTATTCTGTCCACACAAGAGGAGGCAGCCTTATGCACCAATTCCTGAAGAGTCATTTCACTGAAGTTTATCTAAATATGTTTGTAGCAGAGAACCCTGTGTAAGTAGTAGAGGGAGAGGGAGTTTTAGAGAGCTCGGTGGAAGGACAGGGAGAAACTTCTCTACAATCACGTCTCACAAAAATAATTATATCAAAGATACACAAATGAAGAATCTCTGAATTTATGAAATGTCTATGGTAACTTTAGTGAGAACAATGAGGATGAAAATTAACTACATCAACCTATGCTGGATCAGAGCTTGAAAAATCTTTGGGAGGGGAGTGGTATACACAGATGAGAATAAAGCAGGTAAAAATGGAAACTTCTCTCTCAACTGACCACAATGTAAATATGGAATATATAAAAAATTAATAAATAAAATTTAAAAGACCCCACACTTAATTTTTTCACTTTCCTTCAGTAACTGTTACAGATTGGTTAAGATAAAGTAGTGAAAATCTTGTATGGTTACTAACATAGCCAGGTGTGGTGGCTCACACTTGTAATCCCAACACTTTGGGAAGTTGAGGTGGGTGGATGACTTGAAGTCAGCAGTTCAAGACCAGCCTGGCCAACATGGTGAAACCCTATCTCTACTAAAAATACAAAAATTAGCTGGGGGTGGTGGCATGTGCCTATATTCCCAGCTACTCTGGAGGCTGAGGCAGGAGAATGGCTTGAAACTAGGAGGCAAAGGCTGCAGTGAGCTGAGATGGCACCACTGCACTCCAGCCTGGGTGACAGGGCAAGATTCCATCTCAAAATAAATAAATAAAATAAAATGACTAAGGTAAATAAAGTTTGCTTTTAGATTCCAGTGGGAACTAAACTCAGATGAAAGCAAAATCAATCTCTGACAGAAGAAAGTAAAAAATCCTATTCCTATTCATTCAGTTTTAGACCACTACACATACATAAAAACAGTGCTTATTACTATTATAATACTAATATTTTGCTAAAGTCATGTTGTATAATTAAGAAGTAAACTCTTCATATTTTACAGTTTATTTGATTTTTAAATTCCCAATAAATTCATTTAGACTCTAAATGTAGTATTACAACTCAATAAAGCATTATATCAATGCAATGTTCTCTGGGTTTCTTAATGCAGATTATATTAAAAGAAGATTTGAAACAGTATTTCAAGAAAGAAACACTCGAAATCAATGGTAAAAAAAAAAAAAAACTCACAGTGTTTCCTTGAAGGTAAAGGTGATTTTTTTTCCTTCTCTCAACTCTATTTTCCATATTTTAAAGCAAATAAGACTTATTAAATAGACTACTTAGTAAAGTTTTTGTTTGTTTGCTTGTTTGTTTGAGACAGAGTCTCTCACTCTGTTCCCCAGGCTGGAGTGCAGTGGCATGATCTTGGCTCACTGCAACCTCTGCGTCCCTGGTTCAAGCGATTGTCCCACTTCAAGCTCCCGAGTAGCTGGGATTACAAGTGTGTGCCACCACGGCCAGCTAATTTTTGTTTCCGTTCTTTTTTTTTTTTTTTTTTTTAAGTAGAAACAGGGTTTCTGTGTTGGCCAGGTTGGTCTTGAACTCCTGACCTCAAGTGATCCATGTGCCTTGGCTTCCCAAAGTGCTGGGATTACAAGCGTGAGCCACCGCACCCAGCCTAGTCAAGTTTTGTTTTGTTTTCTTTAATTTGTTCACACCTATTTGAACTGATTTCCTGACTCAAAATTTTCATTCATATCAACTAATTAACATCGGTTAGGGAAAAAAAGAATCCTAAAGAGAGTAAAATGAACCAATAACTGCCGAGATCCTTAAGTTTGAAAATGTTGTGATTTCTAAAGTTTAAACATATAAGGCAACTTTAGTACTTACATTATTTATTTTGGTAAGCATTTCTATAAATACTAGCTCTTTTTTATGCACAAGATACAATTTTTAAGCTTTCCTCAGACATACAAATGATTATTATGTAAATATAAAGAAGACCTTCTACAGCACGAGCTCAAATTATGAGGAATGAGTTTATTTGGCAACATACAAGGTAGTGCAGAAGGACACCTACACATCTATACGATAATTAAGATGCTTCTCTTCTTTTAATTTTCAGTTTCCCAATGGTTGCTACAGAGATTTACGGTAAAATCCATTCTTATTGTCTCAGGTTTTCATTTTCATTCATTGAATCAAGTAACATTCTCTCTAATAGAGAGTACTATACTTATTCATGCCCAAATGTTTGAGACCTTAAAAAGGAAAAAAAAAAAAAAAAAAAAGAGCAAACTCTGGTAAGATTTTATATGTAATAGGAATAAATTTAAGATATTTGCTACTTTACAACTGTAGAAGCTGCTATTTAGTCACCAGAGATCATAAGAGTGTCAACAAATTCTATTGCTCTGGGGACTCTCTCTAGGTCACTGGCTGTTTTAAAGATGAACAAATAATCGAGAAACTTTATTTTCCCAATCCACTTGCTTCTTAATTTACGGTATGCAACGAGTAACAATGCACTTTAGAGAGCTTCCTAAACATTCTTTCTTGGCTCTTCGAAACCACTCTAGGAGGTAGCGGAGCACACTTACTTCCATTTGAATAGAGGGGCAGAGGGTCGGAGGTTCGTGACTCAGGAGTGTACACACAGGTCAGGGTTAGTCTGAACCGCACCAGCACGCCAGACCCGAACGTATCAAATCCGAGACCAGGCAGTGGTCCTGAAGATGAGCAAATCTATGCGGAAGCCAGGCCTGGCGGCACTTCGCCTCCCTCATACAGAACCCGCGCCGGACACCGCGCCCTGCCGCGACTCACTTAGCAAGTCTCGCAGATTAGGTTTAATCGCATTCGGACCTTTCCTCAACAGCTCCTCGAGGACGCTTCTCGCCTGGAAAGAGCCACTCCCCCGAAGCCGTAAAGCTGCCCCAGAGCGCGTCTCCTTACGTAAATCTTTCGCGTCGCCGCGTGACGTCAGTGCGACGCGCCAACTTGAGAGAAGAGCTCGGTAGGCTTTTTAACTTTTGGTTGTCCGCTCCGGCGCTCCCTGGGGTTGCGCCTGGTCTCGGACCGGGTTTGCAAGGACTTTGGAGCTGACCAGCTTGGAGCCATAACTCTTTCGTACTTGCCAAAAAGCTCTGGGCAAGACTCTTGAATTTTGAGCCACAGGTGAAAATAAAAGCATCGCGTACAGTTGGTGTTAAGAGAGATGAAATCATTGTGAAATAAGAGAGTTATTGGCCTTCATTCAACCAGTGACATTTTCTGAAAACTTGCTGGAGATATGGCTGCAGCAGTGACGCCTGTAAACGAGATTCCTGTTACCATGATGCTGACATTTTAATTGAGAAGCAGATTGAAACGATAACAAAGGAATTTGGAGCTTTTACTAGGACCTGTAAAGAAATTAAAGCAGGTCCGAGATGGAGTTTTGTAAACTATGTGCCAGAATAGACGTTTTTGTTTCCAAGGGAATCGTTAACAGTTGGGGACATGTCAATTATTACAGTCAGTATTAAGGGCAATAACAGTGGTGTTTTAAAGCTACTACCTGATGGCAGAGTAATCGGGATTTTTTGTTCGGAGGGGGTTAGCCAGGGGAAGGACTGCGAGAACAGCTCTGCATCAAAACATTGCGTGGAAAAAAAAAAAAAAAGCATAGGACGCTCTCGCAGCCATAGTTGTTGGTGACAAGAAAACTGTGGCACTAATCTAAGCAAAAAATATCTCTACATGGCAACTATACTTTTCCAAGATGTACCATGGGCTACTCAAACTAACACAGCCTAATTTATTTATGTATTTAGGTTGGAAGCGGGCAAACGTGTATTTTGTCTATGTTTATGTATTGGGATGACACCATCGTCCAGCCAGCCAGTTAACAACCTTCCCACTTTCTTACCTTACATCCAATTAGACCCTATGTCCTCTGGTTACCAGTCTCGAGACCATCACCCAGCTTGCCAGCGGTGATGTTTTAAAAGATTCCAGATTCCTGGACTCCATCCCCAAAGGTTCATCCTCTAGTTTTCTAATGAGGGGCCTAGAACCTGTGTTTTTTAAATGTCATGCATCGCCATTACTACTTCAGTTCAGGTCTTCTTGGTCAGCCTTTTCCTAAAACGTTTTCAGTTTTGTTTGCCTCTAATTGACTCAAAATTGCTGCCAAAATGATTGTTTTATTCAGTATCATCTTCCAACTCTCTGATATTGATATCTTTTTAAAATCTTTCTTCCCTTGCAGTATCTATTTTCCTCAAGTTTCCTCTTTTTCTTTCTTCTGTTGCTTTTGTGATCTATCTTTCATATTAGGCTTTTCTAGGATGTCTGGTGGTCCTTATCTGCTTGTATTTAAGTGGGGGGATATTTAAAAGTTGATGGGAAGCTCTTGAGTCCGTGGGACATTTGTTGAAAATCAAGTGGGAGAGGAAGAGGGGTATGGAGGGTGGGGTATGTCTCAGAAATTAGGACAATTTTCACTTAATTCTCTTATTTTAGGTGCTTGGTGTCCTCCAATAGAGATCTCATTTTACTTCTGAACAACAATTTTTAAAAAGCCTTCAGAATAAGGCTGGGGGTGGCATAAAGGATGTAACACTCTCCTAAAAGAACTTCCAGTGCTTTTAGTTACCCTCTTGACTTCTACTTCAAGAAACCAATTTCTAAGCTTTTTAGGGGGTTCTGTGATACAAATAGAATTGCTTGTTGGTTTTGCTCACTGGGGGTTTAGAATTCAACTTTTTCAAGTCAACTGAGCCCTTTGCTATTGATTCCATAATTTTATTTTCTTTTTTTTTTCTATTTCTGTTACCCAAAATCACATCCTGAATAGAATTTTATTTTCACTATTCCTTTTATTTAACCCTCAATGGTTTAAGACTCTTTAAAATTCCTGTTAATCATTTTCAGGGAGTCTTAGGGGGCAATATGTAGAACACTATGTTTAAGACAGCATTTTTACATGATAATTCAGGGTGATCATTCTAAAACAGACCAAAACAGTCATAGCATTCTTCTGCTATGAAATAAGAAGCTTCAATAATCCCTCATTGCCTACATAACATTCAGACTCTTCAGCTATGGAAACAAGATAGTTCATTTTCTTTCTAGCCTGATCTCTCACAGCAGGCCACTGCTCCCCCACCCATCTTCCACATTCCCCATACCTGTTACTGTAAACTCTAGTTATATTGAGAGGCTAGTAAGAGTTCTGAACATACAAAGTCCTTATCTTGTTTCCACACCTGTTTTGGGTGGCCCCAGGCTGAAATACCCTTCTCTCTCTATGCCTGCTTGATGAAAATACAGCTTAAACATCACTTCCTCAGTGATGCCTTTCTTCAAGCCCTAAAGAATAATTTATCCAAACTCTCCCAAACTCCATCCCATGAATTCACCATACTATCGGTAGGGGTCATTTGTCATGGGACCTGCAAATTCTTGCTGGGTTTGCCAAGAATGTGAGGTCCTAACTGCTCTTTACCCAGGTCATTTTTCAGGATTGTTTGGGATGATCAGTTTCATAGCTGAAGTATTCTTCCCGAAGAGTAGGCTTCGTTCCACTTAAATACAAAATTAGTAAACTCAGTGTTCCTCTCCTGTAATATAACCCACTGACTGCATGTGCAGACATCCATGGAGGCCCATCTTCATCATCCCAGTGGGACTTGGGGGACATGGAAAACTGGCATCCACATGAAGTTCTGGCTTCTGCTTTTGCCATGAGTTACAAAGTTCTCTGTCACTGACCCAGAAATCCAGGGCTACTGCCATAAAAAACAGCTAACAGGCTTTCTTATTAACTTTGAAATAGGTTTCAATTCCAGACCCTTCCCAGACAGCAACATACATGTCTTACAGCAGGGTTTCTATGTTGCATTCTTAAAGTTTGGGCATGGTGGCTCGCACCTGTAACCCCAGCACTTTGGGAAGCCAAGGCAGGTTGATCATGAGGTCAAGAGATTGAGACCATCTTAGCCAACATGGCAAAACCCCGTCTCTACTAAAAATACAAGTTAGCTGGTCATGGTGACACACACCTGTAGTCCCAGCTACTCAGGAGGCTGAGGCAAGAGAATCGCTTTAACTTCGGAGGCGGAGGTTGCAGTTAGCTGAGATCATGCCATTGCACTCCAGCCTAGTGACAGAGCAATAAAAAGAAAGAAACCTCACTCTTTGCTCTAACAGTAACAAGGGTGATGTCAGCCCAAACTTAGATAAGCAGTTGCTAGGCAGATGTCTTTGTAGATGTATGTGTGTGTGGTTTGTGGTATGTTGTGTGTATGAGTGTGTTGTGTTTAAGGTTGTGGTGGCCTTTGTGCAGGTTGTAAATTTTTTTTGGCTTTTGATAGTTCTTATTAACTGTATGTGAATGAGAACCCTTCCCCTTCATGGCCTTTCCTGGCTCCATCTGTCAGGGTTTTAACACAAGTGACTCTACTTTGAATCTGACAACTTTCCCATTTCCCCTTTTGATCAAGGTCTTTCTCAAAAGCATCACTGATCAGTAATCCTGTATTTAGGTTTTGATGTCCCTTGGTGCCAGTCTGCCCCCATGCTGAAGGGAGTCATTGGTAACTAGGAATTAGTATCGAAAGCCTTTAGCCACATTTGACCAACAAAAGAGGTTTGGAGGGAGTGGATCTCAGGATAAATCTACCTGGAGTCCATTGCTAAGTTCAATTTTGTCTGTTCCATAGGCACTGGCTATCATCTCAAAGTGCTGGTGAAGGATATTAACAATGGTAGTCTGTGATTGCTGCATAATAAAGTTTACTATGTTGTGTTCAATATAAAACCTAACCCCCAGCTCTGCTTAAAATTAACTAATTCCCTATAAAACTTACCTTATCTTTTCTCCCACATTCTCAGCAAAGTTCCCAGGCATCTCAAGACTCCTGTTTTTCTTACTGAACAGCTGCCAGGTCACAGGGCAAAATAACACCCAAAGAATAATGTGTTTCTCAAAATGATATTTTTCTTTTCTTTCTTTTTTTTTTTTTGAGACGGAGTTTCGCTCTTGTTACCCAGGCTGGAGTGCAATGGTGCGATCTCGGCTCACCGCAACCTCCGCCTCCTGGGTTCAGGCAATTCTCCTGCCTCAGCCTCCTGAGTAGCTGGGATTACAGGCACGCGCCACCATGCCCAGCTAATTTTTTGTATTTTTTGTATTTTTTTTTTTTGAGACGCAGTTTCGCTCTTGTTACCCAGGCTGGAGTGCAATGGCGCGATCTCGGCTCACCGCAACCTCCGCCTCCTGGGTTCAGGCAATTCTCCTGCCTCAGCCTCCTGAGTAGCTGGGATTACAGGCACGTGCCACCATGCCCAGCTAATTTTTTGTATTTTTAGTAGAGACAGGGTTTCACCATGTTGACCAGGATGGTCTTGATCTCTCGACCTCGTGATCCACCCGCCTCGGCCTCCCAAAGTGCTGGGATTACAGGCTTGAGCCACCGCGCCTGGCCAATTTTTTGTATTTTTAGTAGAGACGGGGTTTCACCATGTTGGCCAGGATGGTCTCGATCTCTTGACCTCGTGATCCACCCGCCTCGGCCTCCCAAAGTTCTGGGATTACAGGCTTGAGCCACCGCGCCCAGCCAAAATGATATTTTTCTAATGTACCATACATCACAAGACAGTTTACAAATTAATTTTTCTTTGTTCTGGCTTCTGTAAACCTGTTAGCTACTATGTCATCCTAGATGTATGAAAGTACCCCATTTTCTTTGTCCTGGGCTCAGCCTTGGGATGTTAATCCGCTGAGCTGGTGGCCACCTAAATAAAATCTTCATTTCACCCATTGGTCTCTCTGATCTCCTGAATATTCTGCAATACTGGGACAGCATTATTCTGTTAGGGGTTGCATTTCTGTGCAAATTTGACAAGAAACAGGTATAAAGTTCTTTAAAAAAAAAAACAAAAA